GAAGCCTAAATACTGGAATCCTTAAGACCCAGACTTGGAAAGGTACATTGTGAGTCTATGGAATATTGGGATATGCTTCCTTCTATGGGATACTGGGATACGCTTCCTTCTGTGGGATACTGGGATACGCTTCCTTCTGTGGGATATTGGGATATGCTTCCTTCTGTGGGATATCTGGATCTGGGATGTGCTTTCTTCTGGTATCACCTCCAACAGAAAATCTCTCCAGGATAATAAAATCTCTCCAGGATCAGACTTTTATTGTAGACAGAATCATAGGATTCCTACAGCAGTGCTTTCTACCATTATGGCACCTGATGGGAGTAAAACAATTATTCAAGAAAGGAAGAATTGGAAATAGCCTACCGACAGACACAGGCTAGATTCGTTCTTCTCCAAAACAGTCGTGTGTCCAATGGAATACTATGCAGCTGTTAGGACAGATACGTCATGAAATTTGATTGTAAGTGGATGGAGTGGACATGGACATGAACATGCCAAGTGAAATGAATCGGAAAGAGAGGGACATAGAATGACTGCACTCATTTATGGAATATAAAATGACATGAGACTGACACCCAAGGGCAGTAGACACAAGGGCCAGGAATATTGTTCCATAGTTGGAAATCTGTCCCATGAGCTGGGGGAGAAGGCAGCTGGAATAGAGAAGGGATCACTAAGCCAATAATGGTTGGAGGATCGTTCAGGTTGGTAGATGTGTGCTGAAAGTAAATAAAGGACCAAGCGTGATAGCCTCTCTGTATCTATATTGCAATCCATAATGCACAAAAGTAGAGACAGAGTATGGGGGAAATTGTCTGCCATAGAGACAGGGGGAGGAGTGGAAAGGAGGTGTATCCTGGGGACATTGGTGGTGAAGAATGTGCACTGGTGGAGGGATGGGTGTTCGAGCATTGTATGACTGAAATTCGGACATGAAAGCTTTGTAACTATCTCATGATGATTCAATAATAAATAAAAATAAGTTGTGTGTTAATGTAGACAAATCATTTAACATCTCCCAGCCCTGATGTATTTTTGTAAGGTGGTGCCACTGGCATCTACCTCAGAAACTACGAAGTGATTAAATGAAGTATTGAGCAGTTCACCACCTAGTGCAATACCTGGCATACAGTAGGTGCTCAAAAATGCTTGTCACTCATGGTTGCTCATTTCATAACTAAATGTCCCCAGGGAAAGGATTTCAAATTCCATCCTTGCATAAGACCTCTTGGTAAATGTTGTTCTTGCTGCACTGTCTAAACCTTTGTTGTAAGAGTTTGAAACTGGTGAATGCGATCAGGGAAAAAATAATGTGATTCATGTGGGTTAGGGGTGGTATTTTTTTCAAGCATCCCCATTTTTACTGAGATACTATGATTTACAATACTATTCAAGATAGTTTCATGCATACATCGTCCCAACATTGGAACCCACCACCAGTGTGGCCACTTCCCTCCACCAGTGTCCCAAGTACCCCTCCCAATCACCCTTTTGCCATCATCCTCCAGGTAAGTTCAGTTCTGTAGACCAGAGCTTTCCATTTCTGTTATCTTTGGCCATTTGTTGATATCTTACACCTTACCATGTTTCTTTACATCCCAAGTATGAGAAAGAATCCCTTCTCCATATGCTTTTCTTCTACCTTAAGTCAGCATAATAGTTTTTTTTTAGAGGTACTTCTGGCAGAGTGAAACACACAGCCATGGTGGTTGAACCAGTGGTATCCAAGGCCACCAGGGCCACCAGGGCTATACTAAGTCATGCTTTGGGGGACAGGTATGTGGTGCTAAAGTTGACTCAGTCTTCCCCCTCCCCCCCCCACACACACATTTTTATGCTGTCTGGGCCATACCCAAAGGTGCTCATAGATCATGCCTAATGATGTAGTGCTCAGGGGACTATATGTGTTGCTGGGATTTGAACCACGGTCAAGATCACAGATGAATTCCAGGCCAGCACCTTGACCTTAATTCCATCTTGCCAGCTCTGAACTCAGGTTCTTACCACTTGAGTCCTCAGTTCCAGTAACTATTCTTTTTGGGTCATGCCAGGCGATGCACAGGGGTTACTCCTGGCTTTGCACTCAGGAGTTACTCCTGGTGGTTCTCAGGGTACCATATGGGATGCTGGGAATTGAACCTGGGTTGGCTGCGTGCAAGGCAAACACCCTACTCGCTGTGCTATCGCTCCAGACTCCAGTAACTATTCTTACCTGGTTTGAAATGATGTATTTCTGGCCTTGCACAGCCTATGTTACCTTATTTCCCATGCTCTGGAATATCTTACTGTGGCAAAATACATATAAAATTTACCATTAGGACCTCTGGCACATCACAATACCGTGTAACACTGAGTTCAGAACAAATACTTTCCGGGATTTTGTTATACAAGAAGTCTCATGTCTTTAAGGGTTGATTTCTTTAGGTTGAACATGTTACTGTGTCATTTCTGTTGGTCTAAGACATACAAGTCTCTATTGGCTATTCAATTTCTATATTGTCATTATTCTGGAAGTTTTTATGTATTTTATTGTGGTATTTGACGTATCTGCAGTTTTGTGACATACTCAATCTGTGATTGTCAAAGTTTCTTTGAACTTTGGCATAACTTTGAACTTAAAACCTTCTTCTGCCCACTTAAGGTCTTTAATTATTAAATCCTAACTTGTCTTTCTCAACACAATCGGAGAGCCTCACTGTTAATGAGGTGAACTTAATCCACTGATGTTTACTTTATTGATATGTTCAGCTGCTATATCTCTTTTGTCCTCTCCCCACCGTACTTAGAGCTGATGCCTTTGCTTACACTGCTTTTTGCTTTGTGTTTAGATGTGGGATATTGTTTCTTCTAGTGGTTATTTGGGACAAAGGGTGGGGGGAAAGACTCAGCAGTGCTCAGGAGCTATTCCTGGCTCTGTGCTCAGAAATGCCCCTAGTGGTGCTCAGGGGACATCTGTCAGTGCCAGGAACAGATGATGTTGGTTGGGCAAGACTGACCATATACATGTCAGGAGCCTTAAGCCCTTTACTATCTCTCTGTAGCACTGTCCTCCCGTAGTTCATCAATTTGCTTGAGCGGGCACCAGTAACGTCTCACAATAAATTGTGAGAATTGTTGTTACTGTTTTTGGCATATTGAATATGTCACAGGTAAGTTGCCAGGTTTTGCTATGTGAGCAAGATACTCTTGGTAGCTTGCCGGGCTCTCCAAGAAGGGCAGAGGAATCGAACCCAGGTCGGTCATGTCGGCCGCGTGCAAGGTAAACGCCTTACCTGCTGTGCCATTGCTCCAGCCTCTAGCCCCTCTAATGGTTCTATTAAATGTTTGTTACCATGTGTTTTCAGATGCCCCTTTTCCATTAACACGTCAATCACTCCTGCCTATAACAAGGATCTCAGCTCAGTTTCACCCCCTTCTCTTTGTATTCCTCCATAACTGACCACTTCCACCCCCCACCCCCCACCCCCAGCTCCCATGTTGGAGCCACCCAAGATAGGAGTTTCTTCCATACTAACATTTCAAAAGTGCCTAACCTCTCAGGTTTATTCACAATTGAGAAGGCAGTAGAGGTGGTGCCTCACAAAATCCCTACATTCAGAGACAGGGGAAACAATCCTACGTACGATGTATTCCATGTAGGGTGGCCACTCTGAAGGGTGACCTTGCATAATGGAACCCAGGGGAAGGGAGGGAGGAGATATAATCTGATGGGAAGGGGATGAGATCCTGGACACAAGAAATTGGGGGCCTGCCTGGTAGTGGTTGCCCAGGGGACCATCATGTAATAAACCTAAGGTGATGGTGACTTCAGGGACCTTCCCAGGCACCGTCCTCCAGCTCCGGTCTACTCAGCCTACTGTGTTTTGTTTGATGTTAATCCCCAAGACCTGTGGTTGTTCTTTTTTCATTTCTGTATACATCATTATTTCACTTCTCTTGGATGCTACTCACACTCATTTTTGAAGAATTCGACTTGCTTTACTGACCTCTGGAAAAGCCTGTCACCACCCTCTTCCACTGGTATCTCCACTTCTATCACAGCTGTGTGCCTGTGGTTGCCTCTTCCGTCTCCTGTACAGTGCCCACATGGCTGAGGGGAGAAGCCCAGTACCCCCCATGAGAGGCATGTCCACGGCTTGTCTTCCCTATGGCTTGATCCCTCAACTCCCACATGATCCTCCTGTTTGGGGTTTCACACTCTGCTTTAGGCTAGCCAGCTGCTCTCCTGGGTCATGGAGTTTTAAGATGGTAGTAGGAAGAGCTTCTGTCCTCCCATTGTTCATCGATTTGCTCAAGTGGGCCCAGTAACGTCTCCATTTTGAGACTTGTTGTTACTGTGTTTGGCATATCAAATACATCAGGGGTAGCTTGCCAGGTTTTGCCGTGCGGGCAAGACACTCTCGGTAGCTTGCCAGGCTCTCCCAGAGGGGCAAAGGAATCGAACCCGGTTTAGCCGTGCTGGCTGCACGCAAGGCAAACAGATGAAAAACTCCTACCACCCACACTAATTTCCCTGAAAATCATCGTGAAAATGTCTCAGGCCCCTTCTGATTTCTCTGCCATCCTGAAGGTCAAAGCAGCCCCCAAGTCATCCTTCCGGCGAGGCAAGCTTTCCAAATGTCTGAACTCTGGTTGCCTCTGTCCTGTGCCTACTTCCAACTCTGCTGTACTTCCTCCCATTGGTTTGCCTCCACACACACTCCCACTCTACTTTTTTTAGGGGGGAGATCACACCCAGCGATGCACAAAGGTTACTCCTGGCTCTGCACTCAGGAATTACTCCTGGCGGTGCTCAGGGAACCATATGGGATGCTGGGTATCAAGCCCAGGTCGGCCACATGCAAGGCAAACGCCCTACCCACTGTGCTATAGCTCCAGCCCCTCCCACTCAACTTTTTAAGGCTTCATTATTATTTGCTTTTCAAAACAGTCTTTTCATAATTCCAAAAGATCCTTGGCCACATTACTCATTCTCAAAATGATGCCATTCTTACCCATTGAAGGAACAGCTCATAGTAACTTTTATTTATAAGTCTGGGACACACAAGAATATTAGTTTGATGTTTTCAAGTTTAAATTAACTAAGAAAAGGGAAGAGCAACACCACAGAAGGAACGATTTACAAAAGACAAATATAACTAAAAAAATTTATTCCAAAACAGGAATAATGACATATACAAAGTGATTATTTTATAAACCTGGATCTAAATCTTTCAAACACACGAGCTTTTTTTTTTTTTTTTCCTTAGGGAAAAAAAGATTGACATGAACTCTTTGGCATCATCTTTTCAAAGAATTTCTTCTTGAATTGCTATCCATTAGAGTGCTTCGAGATGTCTAAGATGAATGCATAAGAAATCATTCTGACGACTTATTTTTGTATCTTTAAACATTACCTTTGGCTAGGGGTCACTCCAAAAGCTGTACGGAGTGAAGTGGACTCAGGACTCGAGAGTCAAGAGACTGACATGGATTTCTGCTTCTTTCTAGCATGTGACCAGAGTGATCTTGGCATTGCAACTGTCTCATCTTTCAAAGGGGGAGAATCATTCCCACACAAACAGGCTGTTGCAGGATCATACAGGAGCCTACAGCAGAGACAGCACCTGTTCCCACTCCTGGTCTGTAGGTGGCGCTCTGAACCGCTGAAGAGAAGGCGACCCTGTGAGAGTCTGGGACCAGCCCTGCCGTCTTCTCTCTGATAGTGACCAAGCATGCCTCAGAGAAGACAGCCCGTTGAAAGAACTGAAAACTGAGTGTTAATGAATTATCCTCAGAAATCTAGTTCTTTATCAACTCATTCCCAAATCACTTGGGTGGTGCTGCTTCCCTTGTTTCCTTCAAGTCTTCTTTCCTTTGTAAGGCAGATTCTGTTTCTTGAGGTGAGCCTTTACTGGCTTTGCAACTGGCTCTCAAACTGCAGTTTCCTTCCGGGGAAAACCCCTTTTAAAGAAAGTTTCTTTTCTCTTTTGTCCATTCTAAGAAGCAGGGTATTCACCCTAAGCTATTTTAATAGAATTGCATTTGCTCTGAGGCAAAACAATTTGTTTTGCTTTATCATTCAAGTTGATGCCTTTGGGCTAGTTTCAGAAAGAGCAAACTTGGAGGCAATGGCATAATTCTTACAACATGACTGACTTAGGTTTGTTGGGGGGTTTCGTTTTTTTTTCAACCTTTACAGTGAAGTCTTGTGGAAGATTACTTTGTATTCTGTTGTAGCCCAAACCATGGCCTTTTCAATACTGACACCTCTAGTGAATAAACTAAGAGTACGCTTTTAGAAAAGTCAAGTTTGTGCGCGGAAGCATCTGGATGCCATGACAGCAGACAGAACAGGTGGAACTTCCCCCCACGTAAAGGACTTTGACATATCGCTGGAAACTCGGGCTGCAGGGGTGTGCGTTCCTGCCAGACCCAGACTCCTCTCCACCACCTCCTCCAAGCTCCTGGGCCACTTCCACCACCAGTGCCCGGCACCAGAGAAGGCTGCACAAACGTCCCGGGCTGCTTTCAGTTCAGACTCCCCCGTGGTTCTGCGATTCTACTTCTTCCATTCGCCTCCACCGCACGGGGCGTGGAAGGCTTCACTCTTCCAGAAAAGCGCTGGCCGCCCCCTCAAATGTGACGTCCAGTCAGGAAAAAGAGCGGCCGATCCTCCTTGGCGTTGGCCGTCTGGAACTCGTCCCGCAGTCGGAACTGCCACTCGTCTTCTAGCTCCAGGCGGACCACGGTCTGGCGGAGCGAGTTCCGGTCCTGGCAGATGACGCACAAGGTGGCACCTGCACAGGCAGTGGCAGAGGCACGTCAGAGAACGGGGAGTTCATCCAGACCCCAAGCTGGCGTCTCCGAGCAGCGCGGAAGGAGAGGCTGCCGGAGGAGGAGGGCGGGGGTTCTGTGGGCATGCCTCCTGACCTGAGCAAGACACAACCAGTGTGTCTGTTGCCCTGCCAGCCGGCAGGTGAACGTTTGGAAGCAGAAGAAATGCTGACAGATACGTGAACAAAGGAGAAAGGGAAGGAGACAGATGGGTGTCAACTATAAGGCTAGCACCCATGCATCATCATTCTAGACTCCTACCAACCTGCTTACCTGTTATCGACCTGGCTAACTTATCTACCTGCTTCACCAACCTTCCTACCTATCTCCTCACCCCGCTCTCTAGCCAACCTTCCTACCTATAATTCTTATCCTCCTAGTAGAGGAAATGTTTCTTGAAGACAGAGACAGCTCTGGAAGCTCCGGGTTCACAAAGTCCTGTACAGTGTTGGGGGGTCACTAAATACCTGCCAAGGAAGGTCAGGGACAGAGTAATTAAGGAAAGCGAAGACAGGTCAGGAATCTGGATTGGATTGGGACTAACGTGAGTCAAAGGGACTGAATGACCATCACTCTGAATTGCACTAGTAGGTAATAGCGGCAGCAGAAGGAAAAGTCCAACAACATTTTCAGGAGCATGCAGGACCCCAAGATGAGAAGGGAGACCTCATCTGTCAGAGGGAATGATTGTGAAGAGAAAGGGGTGGGTGCTGGTATAAAAATTTTGGACAGAAAAGGAACACAAACAGAGAAAATATCACCTAAAAGAAAGGATGGGTCTTGTCTTGATCCAAATAGCTTAGAGGAAAGAGAGTTATTCCCAGATCCCCACCCACTGCTCCTGGGGACCCCTTGGACAGCCAAGGCAGTCGTGGCCCCTCTCAGAGCCTCAGCTTACCCGTCAGCAAACAGGGACCAGAAGTCACCTCCTCAGGTGACACCCAGAATTCAAGTCAAGGTCCAGGTAAGAGTAAGGGAAGTTACCTTTCAGAAAGTGAAACTTTTTCAAAAAACTAGCTCCCACAAAAGAGTCACAGAGGAACAGCAGGAGGCCACTGAACATGAAGTCAGAGCAGCTGATGTTTAAAGAGTGGGGCCTGGAGCTCACATAACACACAGAAATCTGAAAAAGAAGGAACCCAAGAGAAAACATTGTTTTTCCATGACGTACTCAACAGCATGGCAGCGGGGGGCATTAGCAAATATTCACCGGCGGGTCAAGCTCAGGGTTTTGGGGCTAGAGAGAACAGCATGCCCGTTCCAACTAACAACCTTCAAAATCAGTCCCAATGTATCTAACCATATTAACCCTCTGCTCTGGCAACAAACGAGATCGGGCACGTTCAGGGTGGTATGGCCGTAGACTGCTCTGGCAACAGACTTGGGTTTACTTACTTAACAGATTGGGGCAAACCATTAGAAATTATTTCTGGGGCTGGAGCGATAGCACAGGGGGTAGGGCGTTTGCCTTGCAAGCAGCTGACCCAGGTTCGATTCCCAGCATCCCATATGGTCCCCCGAGCATCACCAGGGATAATCCTGAGTGCAGAGCCAGGAGTGACCCCTGTGCATCTCTGGGTGAGACCGAAAAAGCAAAAAAAAATGTCTCCTAGGGGCTGGAACGATAGTACAGTGGGTAAGGCGTTTGTCTTGCACGCGGCGGATTCGGATTCCATCCCCAGCATCCCAAGCATTGCCAAGAGTAATTACTAAGCGCAGAGCCAGGAGTAACCCCTGAGCATCGCTAGGTGTCGCCCAAAAGGGCAAAAATCAAACAAAAAAAAATATATCCTTTCTTAGCCTCAGGAGGATGGGGTGAACACCTGCGCTGAAGAAGATGAGTAGCTATAACTCCCAGTCCTGGAGTTTAGCCCACTTTCAGGAATGCCTTGGCTTGCGGGGTCAGCGGGGCCCCCTCTGAGAGTTACCTGGGAGCCCAGGTTTAGGTAGCAGTCCACGGAGAGCACAGGGTGCCCGTGGTTCTTGAGGGAGAGCGGGAAGAAGCGGTGGCTGTGGTGTTGCAGAAACTTCTCGAGCAGGAGCTGTGCGGGGGCCGCCAGGAAGGTGTGTTTGCTGTCGGGCGCGCAGATGTACTGGGCCGGCACGGTGGCCGCGGGGCTGTCGGACACCTGCGCGAGGAGACAAGGCACTGGTCACTGCCCACCACCCGCCTGTGGACAGAGGTAGCCCTTCCAGGCGGTGTGGGAGTCCCACGGGAGGGGAGCTGGTTACGGAGTAATGTAGGAGCAAGCCTCGGTTAGCCATGGAGATCCCCACTGCAGGAAGGGGCAGGCAGATTAAGTGCATAATTGCCTGGGGGGCTGGTTAGACTCAGAGACACCAAGATCATAAAGAAACCTGCTGGCTTCTTTCCTTCCCCGTGCGCCGAAGGGGTAGAGAAATGGCTCAAGGCCCGGAGCTCAGGTTCTGCAGGCAGCGGACCTGGGTTCCACCCACAGCGCTGCACAGTTCCCTGAAAACTGCCAGGACGAACTCCAAGGACCAAGCAGGAAAGATCCCTGAGCATTCCTGGTGCCCAAAACCCACAGAGAAAAGCCTGTGCTCTCAGCCCACGGTGCCCTCACCTTGGAGGTGATGTGGAAGGACCGGTGGCCACCCACGGCAATCTGCTTCTTCATCACGCTGAAGCGGTTGAAACGGCAGAGGAGCAGGCCGGCACTGTGCACCCGCAGGTTGAAATCCACGTCATCACACAGGAACCTGCTCCGACCAGAGGGGGCAGGTAACACCGAATCAGCTTCCCCCCCATCAGCCGCCCCTCTCCCCACCCTGCCCTGGAGTAGGCCTTGGGTCCCTTCCTGCTTTACAGCTGTCCCTCGTATGAGACCAGAGGGTGACACACGGGGGAAACAAGACAGGCTGTGGGCATCTGCAGGAGAGGCCGACACTAGGTAAGGACAATCAGACACTGTCCAACAGCCACGATAGGAGGAACAATGCAAACACTGCTTCATCTAGTTGTTAAAAAAAAAAAGGCCGGGGATGCAGCTTAGTAGGGGTACACTCACCTCCCCTGTGTGAGCACGGGGGGGCCAGCCCCAGTGCCATAAAAATAAGGAACTGGGAACCAGCAGGCAGGACAGACAGCACAGCAGTGAAGCCCATTGCCTTGCAGGCAACTAACCCCCGCTGGATCCTTGCCACTGCATCTAGTCCGCCACAAATCATTCCTGAGCACAGAGCCAGGAATAGCCTCTGAGTTCTGCCACTTAATGGCCTGAACAGCAATCCCCTTGAAAAATATTAATATACCAACAACAAATCTCTCCAGATAAAAGAAACAGCTGCAGGAAACAAGGCTTGGGGATGGCTAGTCACGTGTGTCACTTGCATGGCTAATAAGGGGCAGGACCCATAATCCTAGTTGGTCAGTGTGCCGTCCCCCATCAACACAACACGGCCACAGCCATCCTGCTGGGGATCACATCCAGGAGTGCTTGGGGACCACTGTCAGCAATGCCAGGGATGGAGGGTGGGGATTGCCACCACACCCAGGGCCATTAGCCAGGCCTGGGATGCCCCTCAACCTTCACTCCCCACAGTTTCACGCCAGCAAGGCATGTGCTCTGCCACAGGTGCCACCGCCCCAGTCCCACCTGGGCCCTGGCTTGCCCAGATGAGAGCACTTCCATGAGAGCACTTCCACGACGGGGTGGGGAGAGCAACTTGTGGGCTCTTCCTTCCAGTTAGCACTAAAGCTTCTATGAAGCAGTGTGCCCACAGAGGCCAAAAATGCAAGAAGAACAACGCAGAACGCAGCCTGGAAGTCAGTAAGTCAAGTATGTGTGAAAAGACGTGGGGAGTTGAAAGATTTGATACGAATCTTCCCTCCCACAAAACCGTACTCCAAAACAAAGAAAAAACAAAAGCAAGGCAAAAGGTGAACACCAGGACGAGGCAGAGGCTGTGGTTACATGGGGCCCGGGTGGGACCAGGGCTCACCGATTCTGGTTGTACTGCACGTTCTGGGTCAGGTCCACGTTCAGGATAACAAAGTCGTGGACGTGGCAGCGGGAGAAGGGCTCGCGCACCGCGTGGCTCCCCGTCTTGCTGGACCACTTCCGCAGGCCGATCAGCGCGTAGTGGGTGATGTTGGGGGCGGCCTCGATGTGCTGCATGATGTGCTTCAAGGACACGTTCCTCTCTGACCAGGAGAACTCCCTGCCGGGAGGAACAGCAAAATCCTAAAGTCAACACCCAAGCCACACAAGGCCCCAATCAAGGTTGAAGGCAGCCAGAGAACTTACGGGCTTTCTAAGGAACCTCTCCAGCCAGATGGGGCCTGTGGAGAGGGAATCCGGGCCCGCCAGAGCCCAGGGCCAGGCACACTAGATGCTGCGTAAGCATGTCTCACCCATTACTGCTGAATTCTCAGGCCTCAGCATCGCCTTTGTCCAGTTTACAAATGAGGAAAAGGAGACGAGAACTCGCCCGACGCCCACTCAACAGAGCTGGATTTGAACCAGGGTGTTTCCAAAGCCTACAGCCTTTCCACCATCATCATGCTGAACCACCTAGTGGAACTGTAAAGACCAGCCCTTCTCTGGGAAATTCCAGTGGGCGAGCAGAGAAGGTAGGAGCGGTGGGCAAGTGTCCACCTCTTCTCCCCATGGGCTCTGGGATCCAAGAAGGTGCAGAAGGACACTTGATGGCCACAAAATCACATTCAAATAAAGAAAAAGCTAAGCAAAAGGTGAATGGCAGGGGGGTGGGGGAGGGGAGCTGGCAGGCAGGTGCTGTGGTTGCATCGGCTTGAGAGTTCCGGGGCTCTACTTAGAGGTGCCAAGAATTTGGTCCAAGAAGACTTAGACAAATTGCCCTACTTTTCTGGACCAGAGTTTTCCTGTCTGCCAGTGAGGGGCTTAAAGTGAGTTATCTAAATCTTCCTGCTCCATGGTCCAGAAAAGCTGCTCTTAGATGAAATTTACTGACTGGCTGCTCAATTGTCTGCTTACTCCTTCTTCAAAAAAGAAATAAATGAACATAACTGTAGCATGAAATTCAGAAAGAGAGGAACGGAACTCACACTTTCCTCACTATAACCCCCAATCAAGCTCTGGCCCTTGGAAGAGTGATTGCCAGAATATGAAAAGCAAAGCAGATCATAATCTTGTAAGGTTATGATGTGTGGCACCATCACCAGAACAAAGGGTGGGTGATTTTAACTTGAGGACAACGTTCACATGGAAGAGATAAACTCAACTAATGTCTTTCAAAAAAAAAAAAAAAAACCAAACTCCCAAGAACCTGAAGTCATCGGGCAGCCACCATGGTAAAATACTCAAAATGCAAAACCAAAGGAAATAAACAACAGTGATGTTCAGAGCCAACTGTCTTTTCTCCATTAGGAATCTTCATGGCCCACCCAAAACACACACAGAGACACACACATGCATACACACACACACACACACACACACACACACACCCCAGACATTAATACATCTGAACTTTCCAAAGAATAGTTGCAATGCAAGTGCAGTTAATTTGCATCATTCATAGACTAATCCTTACAAACACCTCTAGCACACAGATTAAAACCTCCTTGAAAGACGGAGAAATCAGAGCCTAAAAGAGCTTCTCATGATGTCACAGAGAGAACCTGGTGAGGTGTGAGGCTGGAGGGAGGGCAGAGGGGTCGAAAGGTCTCAGAGGGAGGCTCAGCGCTGGCTCTGAAGCTATGTCTTCAGAGACTGCCGGTAAAATGAGTGGGGGTTTTTTTGGCTTTTTTTGGTCACACCCACTGATGCTCAGGGGTTACTCCTGGTTCTGAACTCAGAAATTACTTCTGGTGGTGCTGGGGGGACCATATGGGGTGCTGGGGATCGAACCTGGGTTGGCCTCATGCAAAGCAAATGCCCTACGTGCTGTACTATCACTCCGGCCCCAAATGGGTGTGTTTTGACTATATATCCTTCCCTATGTGAATTATGCTTTTGTTTCAAGCAGATTTTATACTGAAAATATATGCTACATTTTTCTCTACGTATTATAAATACATTAGTAAATGTTGTCGAAATACTGAAAACTCAAGGGAAGCTGAGAACTCAGGGTACATGCTTTGATGGGCAAAAACCTGAATCTGGAGGCCAGAGAGCAGATACAGAGGCTAAGGCACTTTGCACGTGGCCAATCCAGGATCAATCACTGACATGACATGACCCTCCAAGCACTGCCTGGATCCGCAGACAGTGCCCCACCCCAACTCCGTAAAGAGCCAAGAGTAGGCGATCATGAGTGGATAGAGTCCCCCAAACCCCACACTTCAAATAAATTTTTTTTTTTGCTTTTTTGGGGGGGAGAGGGCACACCCAGAGATGCACAGGGGTTACTCCTGACTCTGCACTCAGGAATTACTTCTGGTGGTGCTCAGGGGACTATATGGTATGCTGGAGAATCGAACCTGGATAGGGCAAGGCAAATGCCCTACCCACTGTGCCATAGCTCCAGCCCCTTCAAATAAAATTTAAATTTAAAAAAGAATCTGATCCCACTCAATTCCTCTTTTGCAAACCACAGCACCCAAAAGGAGAGAGAGAAAAGGGAATGCCCTGCCACAGAGGCCGGGTGGGATGGGGGGGATGGGGGGTAGGAGGGATACTGGGATTAGTGGTGGTGGAGAATGGGCACTGGTGGAGGGATGGGTACTCAATCATTGTATAACTGAAACCCAAGCACAAAAATTTGTAAGTCTACAACTGTACCTCATGGTGTTTCACTAATAAAAATTAAAAAAAAAAAAGAATCTGAAATTGACTCCTGGTACCAGATGGCCCCTCAAGCATGGCTGGATGGCCCTGGTAACCCTTAGCACTGGAATTGCTGAGTACTGCTCTGGGAGGCATCTCAGAACTTCCGAACGCTGCTTTGGATCCCCACCATCACCACCGCCACCAAAAAATATGGAAAAGTTTAAAGCAAGCTCCTAAGGCTTCTCTATCCGAGGCTCTGCGGTCCCAGGGCGAGGTGCCTTTCTGGTCCTCGAAGGACAGACAGGAAGCCATCGAGAAGGACACCCTCTACTGTCTGCCAGGGTGCGGGCGGCTGCATCTCACCTGCCTCTCTCCCCACCACAGTTCACATCCACCACATTCCACATCACGCAGGAGTCGTCGGAAATCACAATGAAAGGCCAGATGTCCTGCGGCTTGATGCCCAGCTCCTCCTGCCGGTTCCGCTCCAGCTCCAGGTTGTGGTAGGACAGCTCCTTGATCAGGAAGTGGGCGGCTCCTGCAAAGGGCCAGACCAGCTGCCTCAGCTCTGTCTCAGACCACAGGCACCCGGCCAGAACCCCTCAGCCACTTCCGGTCATGCTGTTCCACACTCCTGCTCTCTGCTCTCCAGCTTGACCCAGGCCAGAAGACTGCGGGGAAGATCTCGAACATGTACACACATGAGTCTTTCCTCTCTTTTCTTTCTAACCACCTTCTAACCACCGAGGATGTGAATTAAACCCTAAACATTAGGCTAGGGAAATTGTGGAGCATGGCAACAGGCTGACAGAGCTGATAAGATCTGTCCCTGCATAGTAGATAAGATCTGTCCCTGTGTAGTGACCCAGTAGGGAGTGTCTGGGTGCGTTTTATAACCACCAAGGCATGTGAGTTTCACCTAACACCCCCCCCAAGAATTGTCACCTAACTGCAGCATCTAGCCCTAGATGGGATTGGGCCAGGGCAAAGCAAAATGGGAAAGGTGATAAGTCAGTAATGCTAAACTTTATGTGAATGGACCATCCTCTTAAGCCAAGACCCCCCTATAAAATATGTGTGTATTTGGCAATAAAGCGAACAGCCATCAGCTACTCCTGGAGGGTGTTTCTCCACATGCCTTTGCCCCATATCTGTCCAGACCTGGTGCGCAACGTGTCTGAGCACATTGGGGAAAAACTGTTCCTGAACAGGAAATAGTACGGGTCTTAGGGCATATGCCTTACACACATACAACCTGGGTTTAGTTCCCGATGAATTAAACCACTAAACATTAGACTGGGGAAACAGTATGGGGCTTAGGGCATATGCCTTACACATACCTGACCTGGGTTTATTTATTTATTTTGGCTTTTTGGGTCACAACCGGTGATGCTCAGGGATTAGTCCAGCTCTGCGCTCAGGAATCACTTCTGGCGGTGTTCAGGGAACCATATGGAATGTTAGGGAATGAACTTGGGTTGGCTGCCCATGTGCAAGGCAAACACCCTACTCACCGTACTATCGGTCCTGCCCCCGACCTGAGTTTAATTCCTGGCGAATTAAACCACTAAACATTAAGCTGGGGAAACAGTACAGGGCTTAGGGCAGATGCCTTACACACACCCGAGATGGGTTTAATTCCTGGCATCTCATGCCCCCGAACCTCATTGGATGTGGCCCTGGAGGCTTCTGAGCACTGCCAGGGTGGCCCTGGTGATCCTTGGAACCACACACCTGAGCAGTACCAGACCCTGATGTGGACCAAATGTCCCAAAGTCAGCAGGAGTGGTCCCTGGGATCCCTCAAGGAATACTTGAATGACAAACACACACACACACACACACACACACACACACACACACACACACACTCACACAGGGAAAAAAATCAATTCATTAAATATAAAGATTTAACAAATTATAATAGCTTGAAAAGTCAAAATGCTCGGGGTGAGATGTTCAGCTCAATGAACTCAGATATTCTCTCAAATCTCCCATCCTGGGGTGTGGCTAGGGAGGGTGGGCTGGTGGTGGGGGGTGGGGTGCCTACCAACACCAGCGCTGTTGAAGATGCTGGGGAGCACCAGCATGATATGGTTGGGCCAGTACTTCTTGTAGATGGCCATCTCGTACTCCTTGACAACCAGTACATGCAGGTGGCTGGCCCCATCCATGGCGTGGTACAGATTGAAAAGCCCGTGTTCATGACGGCCCGTGGTGGGTGTGAAAGTCGGGCTTTTTATGTACTCGTGACTCTGAAAGCGGAGGCAGAACGAGAGGAATGTTTGCAAACACAGTCCCCAGGGTCCCCTGTTGTCCTGCCCTTTGAAAGTTGCCTTGGCAGTGTCCTCCGCCCAAAGTGGAGGGACTCTTTACCCTGGCCAAAGAAAGGCAGCAGAAGTTCTGAGCCCAGCTCCCAGATACCTCCCACTCTGTGTCAATTGTCCCAGGGTACAGGCCTAGGTCAGTCAGAGGGAGGAGGCACAAGCACACAGAGCAGAGTTGGTTGATCCTCTGCATGCCTCAAGCCCAGGCCTCGCTGCTAACATGCAAGCTAGGACTCAGACACAGAACTGTGTCTTCTACTCTTTTCTCAACCCAAAGTTCTGACAGAACTAGATGTCAGCTCCTTCTGAGTTCCCAGGGGACAAAGCTGGGTGCAGTCAGTGCTCAGAGCCAGTTCTGGTATGGGACATCAGTGAGTGGAGTAATGGTTCGTGCCTCAGCTTCACGTCGTCATGCAGAGGAGTTGCGATAACACCAAGCTCCCTTCTCCAGGGCAGCAGACCCCTCAAAGGAAGACCTGTGCGGTTCTTCACCCCTCTTTTCACTGCTCAGTAACAGGTGGCTGTGTTTAAAAGGCTAGATGCAATGCTATGCACATCTGGGCCTTCCGAGAAAGAAAATCCACAGCCTCAGGCTGGGGAGATCATACAGCAAGAAGGATGTTTGCTTGCACATGGCCAATATGGTATTCAATCCCCAGCACCACACATACTGTTCCCCCCACCCTTTTTTTTTTTTTGCTTTTTGGGTCATACCCGGCGATGCACAGGGGTTACTCCTGGCTCTGCACTCAGGAATTACTCCTGGTGGTGCTCCGGGGACCATATGGGATGCTGGGAATCGAAGCCGGGTCAGCCACGTGCAAGGCAAATGCCTTACCTGCTCTGCTATCGCTCCAGCCTCATATATTGTCCCTTGATCCTGCCTGGAGTGATCCTTGAGCCCAGAGCCAGGACTGAGCACAGTGGAGTATGATCAAAAAACAAAACAAACCAACAGAGCTACATCCACTAAGTCTGTGTTTATTGGGGCTAGTTCAAGGGCAAGTTGCCTCTGAGATGGAAAGGTCAGTCAACCAAAATGTCTCTCTATAAACACAGTGGCCACAGAGGCCCTCAGTAATTGACAATCTCTTAAAAAAAACTAGGTACCAGATCCTTACAAGAGACTGAAAATGATGTTTATAGATGAAACAATACATTGAGATCTGGTAATAAATGATGCAGCCTGGCTAGGCAGAAGGACACCGGGAAAACAAGACTGGTCATGAGTTAATAATTGTAGAAGATGGGAAACAGCCCCAAGGGTAGGCTAGTCCACTATCCCACAGCTTAAACACTCTGTGAAAGAGCATAAACAATGAGACAAAAAAGATCATAAACAATGAGACAAAGGGACGAGAGGACAGCTTGCTCAAACCTGTTCTCTTCCAGGCCTGAGCTGGGGCCCATCCGGAGACTCTAGTTCTCACAACATCTGGAGTCATAGTACAGTGGCATGGCACGTACCTTGCGTGTGGTCGTCCTGAATTTGATCACCAGCCCCTAAGACCCACCAGACATGATCTCTGAGCTCAAATCCAGTAATAAGCCCTGAGCACCACCAGGTAGAACCCCTCTGCCCAACCAAAAAAAAAAAAGTTCTCACAACAAGCCTTTACAAGAGTTAATATATATATTTTTTTCTTTTTGGGTCACACCCAGTGAAGCACAGGGGTTACTCCTGGCTCTGCACTCAGGAATTACTCCTGGCGGTGCTCGGGGGACCTTATGGGATGCTGGGAATCGAACCTGGGTCAACCGCATGCAAGGCAAACGCCCTATCCGCTGTGCTATCACCCCAGCTCCTACAGGAGTTAATATTAACCAGATTCATAATGGAGGAAACTGAGGCTCAGAGTTATCTGGTAGTAAGTTCAAAGGTTACTGCTGAAGATCAAAGTAAGGGTCTAAGTTGACTCTTAGAGACCCCTAATCCTCTGCTGGGCTGCCCGGCCTCCTCCAAGTTCAGTCACCAAGTTCAATCAGTCTCTTCACTTGGTCCCACCTGCCCTGGACTGACTCATCAGGCAGCTTCAGTCTCCAGGTCGCCACTCAGGTCCCCCTCTCACCCCTGCTCCTGCAGCCACTGGGTTGACCCACCAAGACCCACACCAGTACCTTGTCTGTGACAAGGGGCAGTCGCATGCTCTCCAGCTGCCCTCCAGGTTGGCTGAAGACAAAGTGGTGCTCCTTGGACTTGGGGATGATGAAGTGGAGTTGGATCTCCTCTCCTAGCATGGAGTAAGAGAAGGCAAAGGCGTGCAGGGTGGACTCATAGAGCTGGGGTGCAACGGGGGGAAAGGAGGACAGAGCTCGTCATTGGAGTCTGGCATTAACTCCCCGGAAGAACCCAGGCCCAGCATGACATGATGTCACGGAAGCCATTATCCTCCGCCCTAAGCCCTAGCCAGAACCAAGACCCAGTGTGGATGTCCAGGGCTTGTGACTGCACAAACACCCCCGTGGCCATATCCACTCCCGAGCCTGCTCTGGGCCAAATTGTCATCGGGCTTTGCCCACTGACAGTACCCAATGTCATTGTTTCCAGACTCTAGAATTGACCCAGAGGTGTGTGGGTCAATTCCAGCGGAAGCTCTCACAGTGCAGTTTTCACTTTTCTTTCTAACCAATGTATCATTCCATCATAGGCAGCGTGTGAAAAGGCAGAGTAATAAAATAATACGACATATGCACACACATGTCCCACCCCATCCAAGCCCCTCTCACCCCTTTCACTATCACTGATGACCCCAGGAAGTGCTGCTGTCGTCAGCTACATTTATATTTACGGACCCAGAAACTGACACTCTGGGGTCTTGCGACACTTCTTTCCCCAAGTCTAGCGTCATTTCTCACCACCTCCTCTGAATATCCCTGTGCCTGCCCTGTGTGCCGGCGTGATCATCAGCCCCGCTCTGCTCAAGCCACACTCCTGCTTCTCCAGGCGTAAGTCCAGGCATCTTCAACGGAGCCTTCCCAGACCCTCACGGGACCCATCTCTATCCCTGACTTATATAGCTAAGTCATGCCATGTGCTTCCAGAAACATCCAGGACTGTAGCAACTCCTGTACAGGATTATAAAATGCTTTGGGAGCAGATATGAAGAAGTGAATTTAACCTGGGGAGGGAGCCTAGAGGGATGTACCTGGAGAAAGTTCATGAAAATGGTCAGGGGAAGTCTTGAGAGATGAGGGGTATGGGGAGAGAATAGCAGGAGCTGGGGACCCAGCAATGCCAGCAGGGACCTGGGCCATGTTCCTTTGAGCCTTTCAGAGGATCTTGGGGTCAAGGCCTCTGAGGGCCTCTTGATTATGGACCAGACACAGCCTAGTCCTCTACGGGACGGCTTCCCTCTCTCCTAGAGACCCTTCCCTGGATTCTGAGTTCAGAAATAATTTCTTCACTTCCATGCCCAGGTCTGTGACACTGTGCTACCTTTCGGGATTGCCAAGGATGGAGACACATCTATAGTCAGCACACGCTGCCACTCAGAAAGGCGCAACCCTAAGAGAATCACTGTTTCCTGTGCCAGCAACAACCTCCCAGATTATTGATGAGAATGGAGTCTGTAAATATGCCAGGAAGCAAGAACTTCCAGAACATTCCTTCTCCTGCTCCAGAATGAGACATACTGAGGAGAGGGAAACAAAGGCTTGAGTTCAGGTGAAAGGCATCCAGAGAGCTACAGGCAGAGCTCCTGAGCTGTGCGTCCCAGTTCTCACACCTACCTGGTAGCGGGGGTGGAACCCCATGTACTGGTGGCACTGCTCACAGTGGTGGTACGTGTTATAGGCCGCATACTTGGACAGCCGCATCCGGGCAGTCTGACGCCGCATGTAGAGCTCCTCCGGTTTCCGGGACATCTCTCTGTCTGCAAAAAATCCTCAGTGTTAGGGAACAGCAGGAGGCACAGGGAATATTCTCCTTCCTGACTCTCAAAACCACAAGTATTGGAAGGAACTGTGTGAGAAGATTCTAGATGGTGACTGGGGACCAGTGCTTGCAGGGGCCCTGAGGAACATCACTGGTCAGAAACAGCAGCCTCAGAGGACCAGAGAGATACTGCAGTGAGCAGGTCACTTGCATTGCACACAATCAACCCAGGTTCACTGTCTGGTACCACACAGTTCCCCAAGCACCGCCAGGAGAGATGTTAAGCCCAGAGCCGAGAATAAGCCTAAGCATAGTCAAGTGTGACCCAAACAGCTGTCTTCCCCACCAAAGACAAAAACAGAAATGACAGCCTTCCAAATACACAGGCTGTGTTCACTTGTAATGAATACTAAAATTATATGGCTAACACTGTTATATATATACCTGGTATTTTGCCTTTGTTACCGGCAGTATTATAGTACCAGGACAGAACTCAGGGCTCTGCATATGTGAGGCATGTCCTCAATCCACTTCTCCCATCTCTGTTTGTTTGTTTGGTTTGGGCCACACCCAGCAACACTCAGAGATTATTCAGGAATTCCCCCTGGCAGTGCTCAAGGGACCATACGGGATGATGGGGATTAAACCTGGGTTGGCAGCATGCAAGGCAAATACCCTGCCTGCTGTACTGCTCCAGCTCCTCAGAATCCTATTTTTTATGGACTTAAGCTTATTTATTTATTTTGGTTCTTGGGTTACACCCAGTGATGAAGGGGTTACCTCTGGCTCTGTGCTGAGCTTAGGAATCACACCTGATGGAGCTTGGCGGACCATATGGATGCTTGAAATCAAACCTGGGTCAGCCCCATGCAAGGCAAATGCCCTACTGGCTATACTATTGTTCTGGCCCCAGATGGGCTTAAGCTTTAACTGTGATTGATAATTTTTTTTCTTTTTCTTTTTTTTTTTTTGCGGGGGGGGGGGAATGAAGCAGCAAGGTTCTGTCTGACCTTCGCTCTTGATGCTCTGGTGGTGAGAACAAATCAGACTGGCATCCTCATACTTTGGGTCGTGAATAATGTAGTCAAAAGGCATCTTCTTGAACAGTTCCAGGTCTGGCCAGGGGTCATTGAGCTGGAGAGAATGCCACTCGGCCTCTTCTCGAAGGTCTGAACGAAGGACAGAAACACAGAGAAGGGACAGAGAGGATGTGAGAAGGCTTTCAGAAAGATGCCTTTGGGTCCATGGGGTCGAGGGGAAAGTCCACTGTATTTCAACAACTCCTGGCACACACCCCCTCTCAGGGTTGTTCTAATCAGATCTGTGTCTGTTTCGAGAATAATCTTAGACTGTTTCCTATGGGAGGACTTGCTCTTCTGCCCTCACACTAACTTGGACTCCCCCTAGTGTCACTGCTTCCTCCTGTGTCCTGTCCTTCTGAAATATGCCACACTGGTCCTCCCACCAGTGGAAACTCATATAACTTTCTCTTTTGCTTCTATAACTGTGAGTGAGCTGAAAGGGACCTCACCACCACACCTCTAGGAATTCTCTACTTGGTGCTAATATCTATTACCTTACCCCATCCCAATCCAGCAAGATTCATGGTCCAAGTCTCTCTCTGTCTCTGTCTCTGTCTGTCTCTGTCTCTGTCTCTGTCTCTGTCTCTGTCTCTGTCTCTCTCTCTCTCTCTCTCACACACACACACACACACACACACACACACACACACACACACCCCTTGCTATTCACAGGGGAAAAATAAAAGCACCCTGACAAGACCATTGGGAGGAGTTTGACTGTTAACCTGAGATTTCCATCTAGAAAGTTTAAGACAAACGTCACTTGAGAAACTGATTAAAGATGATTTCCAGTCCAGTGTCCCAGTGGACCACTCACTGATATTGATCTCTTCTTCATCGTAAACATCCACTTCTGTCAGTCGAATGAGCATTCGGGACAAAATGCTGAGGAACTGCAGGTAGGCACCCGTCTTCCCAATCTGTCAAGACATTGCAGGTGGCGCCAGTTATCAGGAGGGCTCTAGTTATTCGAGCCAGCACTTCCTAGGCCCCATCAGCACAACACCCACTAGAGCCTCCAACATGCCCCATGGCCCCTCTGCCTTTCATTAAAACTCTCACTTAAATGCCATGAGAGTCCAGTGGATACAGATGTTGAATGGAAACGGGGCAGACAGAAGCACGGCAGGAGGGCAGATGGACACCCACGAGCAGAGGATGTGCCATATTAATCACAGCAAATGCACCTCCAATTTTAACTGGCCCCATTTTTCAAGCTGTCAGCAACAGAATTTATCTCAAGCTGATGAAAGTCTGCCTCAGAAAAATAATAATAAAAACTAACTGCCAATACAGCATTCTTTAGAATCTTGCTGAACTGCAAATTACTCTCCTTGGACTCATTGACATCTAGAGGAAGATAACAAAATTCATTGTGGAAGACAAAAAGTTGGTATCTGTCTTCTCTGAGCCCAGAATGACAATATTTTTCTAATCTTTCTCTTCTTTCTCTCATCACAGAATCCAGCACCAGGCTGGTAATACTGTTGGTCACAGTCTATTTTGATCACAACCTGTTAAACTGGTGCTATTGTTCCAAAAAGAAAAAAAGAAAAAGAAAAAAGAAATGAAAAGGAGCTCCCTTGCACAAGACCGACCCGGCCAACCCGAGTTCGATTCCTCCGCCCCTCTCAGAGAGCCTGGCAAGCTACCGAGAGTATCTTGCCCACACAGCAAAGCCTGGCAAGCTACCTGTGGCATATTCAATATGCCAAACCCAGTAACAAGTCTCACGATGGAGACGTTACTGGGCCTGCTCAAGCAAATCGATGAACAACGGGAGGACAGTGCTACAGTGCTGTTAAACTGGAACCCTGTGGGTTACTCTAGCACCTCTTGCACTACCCCCAAGCAATAAGTCTAGCAATGTCAGGGCCTGGTTCTTCGCAAGTATGTATTCCACAAACACTGGGGAGTGAAAATACAACTGGGAAGCATCAGAGAAAATATCTATAATACATACAATACTGTATCGATTTGCTTGAGCGGGCACCAGTAACATCTCCATCGTGAGACTTGTTACTGTTTTTGTCATATTGAATACACCATGGGGAGCTTGCCAGGCTCTGCTGTGTGGGCAGGATAACTCTCGGTAGCTTGCTGGGTTCTCTGAAAGAGACGGAGGAGTCAAACCCGGGTCGGCCACGTGGAAGGCAAACACCCTACCTGCTGTGCTATCGCTCCAGCCCACATACAATACACAAAGGTTAATGTTTAAAGAATGCCTACAGAGAAATAGGAAAATCAGATGATCTGGGATCCGGTTTCTAAAACTGAGGGGGGCAACCTCATATGGACTCATGAAAAAACATGACAACAGTAAAAGATTTCAGAGTGGGCAATTGCCAAAACTTAATTCAAAGTCAATGACATAATAAATTCAAGGTGTTCCAGGCAGTGTTCACCCAGGCTGAGAAGGGGTGAAAGAAAGGGACCGGGAGTGAAAAAAGTTTAAGCAACTCTGTCTAGAGGTTCAAACCACTGTACAAGAGTTACCAATGAGTGGGGTGAGGAGACAGTACAGGGACTGGGGCACAAACTTTGCAAGACACGAGTCTGATCCAGGTTTAATACCTGCCAACACGTGGCCACACCCTCAAGCACGGCTGGGTAGCTCTGAAGGCCCCATGTGGAGGGCACATGCACACACATAGGGATTTTTATCTCATTATCTCACTGTATATGACACTACAGAGATATTATCCTATAAGCTGTCCTGTTGAGGTTTTGGTTGTAGTAGTGCCAGGAATCAAACCCAGATTTCAAAACCTGGACACAGAAGGCAGTTGCTTTATCACAAAGCTACATCCCCAGCCCTTGATATTTTAAACACTTCTGAGACATTTCAAGGTTGGAAGAGCAAGACTCTGTCAAACCTTCTATGGCTGAATTATGCAATAGTTGTGCCCAAATTTATTCAACCACCTTGACCAATGGAAATGAAGTCACTTCCAATTTGTTTGTCTACCGTTCTAAACTCCTCTCTGCCCCTCTCAGAGAGCCTGGCAAGCTACCGAGGGTATCTCGCCCGGACAGCAAAGCCTGGTAAGCTACCCGTGAGGTATTCGATATGCCAAACACAGTAACAACAAGTCTCACAATGGAGATGTTACTGGGCCCGCTCGAGCAACTCGATGAACAACGGGAGGATAGTGCTACTGTTCTAAACAGCACTGACATGAGCATCTGTTCAAGTATATATACATCTGCGTATCTGCACGCATCTGTATGTATATATATATATATATTTGTATATATATATATATATATATCTGTCTACATATGAACTAAGGGAGAGGGCTGAAAGTGAACATGCCAAGTCATGAGTCAGACATCCTGAATGCAGCCATGTTGATGACATGATAAAGGCAGCAGGAACATTCAACACATGCATTCTACAGGCCCGCTGATTCCCCAGCCCCACCCTCATGTCCCCCAAGGATGTTCCCAATTCTGGGGTATAGGGAGTATGCTCTTCATTTTTCCATGAGCTTGCCAAGGCCAGAGAGGATATTTGCCTTGCACGCGGCCAACCCGGGTTTGATTCCCAGCATCCCATATGGTCCCCTGAGCACCGCCAGGAGTAATTCCTGAGTGCAGAGCCAGGAGTAACCCCTGAGCATTGCCGGGTGTGACCCCCCCCAAAAAAACAGGGAAATTTGGGGGCTAAAAATACTTTGTATGGTGCTGAAGCCATAGGACAGTGGGAAGGGTGCTTGCCTTGCACCGGCTGGCCTAGGTTCAATCCCCAGCATCCCGTAGAGAGTGCATGCACTCAGGCTGCTTCTGCCTGCAGAGCCCTTCTGCAGAGAACTGAGCAGCTCTCCCTCCAGTGCCCTTCAAACACTCCCGGGGAGCCAGCCCCAGGCATGTGGCCAGGAAAAGCAGCGATGCTGATGTCCCCCCACCACTTATTGGTTGTCCAGCACTGAACTGAGGGTCCCAGCTTTTTTGCGAGGACAGTAGGAGCAACCCCCCTGCTGGCCTCGATGACCAAGTGTGCTCAAATGGGAAACACAGGATCAAAGTCACAGGGGTGAGCAGCACCCACAGAGAAGCCCCTCAGCCCACCCTCCCACATCATGCAAAGGAGGAAACTGAGGCCAGAGCCTAGCAGTGACCCCATACCCCACCCACCTGCCTACTGGCGCCAAGAGCCTGCCTCAGGGCCATGGGATGGACAAAAATGGATTAGAGGATGTGGGGGTAGGGGGTGGAAACACCCAGCAATGCTCAGGGGTGACTCCTGGCTCTGCACTCAGGAATCAGTCCTGGCAGTGCTTGGGGGCCCGTATGGGATGCCGGAGATCCAACCTAGGCCAGCCGCATGCAAGGCAAGCACCTTCCCCACCGTACTATGGCTGTCAGCACCATAGAGAGTACTTTTAGCCCCAAACAGTCCCCCCCTTTTTTTTAAATATTTTTTTTCTTTTTGGGTCACACCTGGCGATACTCAGGGGTTCCTCCTGGCTCTGCACTCAGGAATTACTCCTGGTGGTGCTCAAGGGACCATACAGGATGCTGGGAATCAAACCCGGGTCAGCCTCATGCAAGGCAAACACACTACCCACTGTATACTATTGCTGAAGCCCCACCTAAATGTTCCCTCTGAGCATAAACACAGCCCCCTGCCACCCATCCCCCCAAAGGCTGAGGCCACAGTGGGGGTTGCCCACCTGGGGAGGCCCGCTGAGCAGCAGCCTGCGTGGGTGGAAGCTGTCCACACGGCCCTCGGCGCGGTTGCCGTAGTCCATGTGGCTGGGCCGGGGCACCGTCCACTGCCGGTAGTAGAGGGACTGCTCCGTGGACGTCATGGTCTTGCTGAGCAGGGGCCGGAAGGAGCTGGCCCACATGACCGAGTGGGAGGGCAGTAGCGAGGCGGCCTTGGGCAGGCCGCTGCTGTCAGTGGCGGTGACCATGTCGTACACCAGCTTGGGCAGGAAGACGATGGGCGGCTGCTGGCAGGCCTTGGTCAGGGAGCAGCGCGGAGCCTGCAGCATCAGTGAAGACGACGACGAGCCTGAGGAGGAGAACTGGGCCGAGGGTGGTGGGACAGACAGCTGGACGCTCTTCTGGCTGAGTTTGAGGCCCGGGTCAGGCTGGGGGGCCAGCCCGGGGCTGTGCCTGCTGATGACCGGTGGCCCCTGGCTCACTCGGAGCCGCTGCCTCTCACCGGGGGCCCTGGGCTCCTCGGAAGGGCCGGAGGGCGGTGGGGACCTAGCCTGTTCCCCCTGAGGGGCACCCCCAGGCTGGGCTGAGGACTCGCTGCAGAGTGCTGAGCCTGCAAAGAGACAGACCTGTCAGCCACCCCAACACCAGCCACCGCAACCTGTCACTGTCCCCTCTTCCTGCAAATTACCCAAACTGGAGAATGACCCTTCACACAGTCCTGTAGCTACAGGACATGGCGAAGCCCAGATGTGCCAAGGGGAAAACTGGTCTGACACACACGGTCTGACCTGACTCCCAGCCCCAGAATGGGAGGACAGTAAGAACAAACCCTTTACTGGCCTTGAGGACCAAGTGTGCTCACATGGGAAACACAGGATCAAAGTCACAGGGGTGAGCAGCACCCACAGAGAAGCCCCTCAGCCCCCCCTCCTCCATCATGCAAAGGAGGAAACTGAGGCCAGAGCCTAGCAGTGACCCCATACTCCATCTACCTGCCAGGAACCCCTGAGCATCACACACAGAATTTTGCACACAGCTTCCAAAATCCACCCCCTGCCCCCATGCAGTCCCCCAACCTCAACTACTCCCAAACCCTCAGCAGCAGCTCAACAGACACTTGGCTTCCCTCCAGGGGTCTCCGAGAATGTCTCATCCCCCTATCAGGTCACTGGGCTCAAATCTCACTTCTGCAATCAGTTTGTTTCTCATTCAAATTCTGCTCTACTCATCCAGATTAGTACACCTGGATCCCGTCTCAAACCACTGACCCATCATGGCAGAAGCCAAGATGGGAACCGTGGGTCCTCCAGTAGCTACCCGCTCTCCCTGACAGAAACCACGGCAAGAGTCAAGGTGAGGAGGGTCAGTGGACACACAGACACAACACCCCAGACTCTGCCTTCTCTATCACTCCAGTCACAAAAGCCCTGTGCGCTGGGCTGTTCCTCAGGGCTGTCCCGACCAGAGATTCCCCAGAAGGCAGGACAGAGAGCCCAGTGCATCCCCTCTGGGTGACAGAACTGAGGACAGATGCTCAGCACCTTCCCAGCCAGACACGCGGTCCCCGCAAGGACTCTGCAGCCTGTGTAGCACCTGTCTCGGCGGGAGTGGGGCCAATGTCGTCTCCCCTCAAGTAGGAGTCTAATGTGAGAGGTTGTGTTAACAGAATGACAGGAAAGCCTGTGAGGAACCCAAGCATCTGGCCTGAAGGGACTGGGGGCAGAGGGGCCCAAAGGACAGAAAAGAGGTATGAGCTCCCCAAAGGGTAGGCTCAGGGAACCCCAAAGTCTTCACCCACTTCCAGGAGTTGGTGAAAGCAGCCTCTCGGGCTGGGCCAGGGAGAGGGACACCCAACAACGGCCTTTCCTCTCCCTCTTTCCCCAGAGCAAGTCGGTCCAGGAGTCTGTCAGCCTCTGAAGACCGAGCTCATGGTTTCTAGGTCTCCCCCGGGAAGCAGTCTGATTTGTGTCATGGCGGCCAAGCCAAGCCTCTCTGGGCCTCTATTTCCTCATCTCTGAAACGCAGCTGAGGCCCTCAAATCAGCCTCTTCCTCAGAGACCTCTAAGGGCCTCCCGAGAAATCCTCAGTCGGAAAAACACCTCGCCTGACAGAGAATTCCAGGAGCAGAGGTTGGCAGGCAACCAGGTCTGTGACCCTCAAATCTTCTAGAAAGTTGTTAGGCAAGAGTGGCCTAACACTCTTACACCCCGCCCCCACCCCTGTGGTCTGGGCTCCTCTGCACTCCTGGTCCTCAGACCCCTTGGTTGTTGGACTCACGCATGGGTCAGTGTTGGGTCTCATCTCTTTCTCTACCCGTGTATCCCCCGCCTGTCTCACGGCTGCCCCAGGTCTGTGTGAGGTGAGGGAAGGAGAGGGGACACCACAGACAGCCCCAGATGCCTGAGGACTCTGACCTCACAGCCTAGCTCTGACCTGAGCCAGGCCTAGACTGCACCCCCGCCCACCACTCGCTGAGGAGTTCTGAGTTTTAGGGTGTTTTCATGCTTGCATGGAACATTTCCTCCACTAGGCCTGAAGGCTGCTGTCCCCACCGGAGACAACTCATTCCTTCTTTTGGCACAACCATAGGGCTTTGGGTAAGAACGTTTGGCCTTGAAGAAGGCAGCCTGCCCAGAGGAACCACCGAGCGGAATTGCTCAGGCGCTGTGAACTCCCTGAGCACATTCACGTGACCGTCCACAGCCCAGTTCCAACAGAAAGGTTCTGACATAAATGCATCTCACAAGGGCAGGTCCCCCCTTACTTTGGTCCCCCAGGTAACACAGAGGATGGCACGGGGGACAGGGAGACAACGCTCACATCCACACTCCCTCCACCCAAGAGCACCTGGCCCCAGAAGCTTGCTTGCCTTTCCCCCCTCTGGATTCCCATGTCTCCTTCCCTCTTCCTCAAGCGCTTCTGCTCCCCTGGGGGGCTGCTCTGTCACTATAGCCACTCCCAAAAGCCCAAGTAACTGTCACTGGCCCTCATGGTTCAACCCAAGACTTTTTTTTTTTTTTTGCTTTCTGGGTCACACCTGGTGATGCACAGGGGTTACTCCTGGCTCTGCATTCAGAAATCACTCCTGGCGGTGCTCAGGGAACTATATGGGATGCTGGGAATTGAACCTGGGTCGGCCGCGTGCAAGGCAAATGACCTACCCATTGTGTTATCTCTCCAGCCCCACAAAGACTTCTTATTCCCATGGCAACATGCCCTATTAGAAAAGTCCAGGTCTTCCGATGCCCTGTTTTCTTCCCAGTTCTAGGTGAAAATAAGGGATCTCTTTCCCTCCTCCAAATCTCTCAGCAAAATTAGCGCTAACGGTGAGCTCGCTCCCCTAGACTTACTGGATGCTTTAGAGGAGAGTGAGGAAGAGGCCGAGTCGTGGGAGCAGGACCTTTCCCTCTTCATGGGACTCCTCTTCTCCGAGGTGGAACCTGCATCAAAACACACACGCGGACAGTGCCTAGTAAACATTGCTCCTTATGTCCAAGATGTACTTTACGCCTATCACACCTCTCTCCATCTGCCCATCCATTTCATTCTTCCGTTCATCCATCTGCCCAAGCGTCCACCCACCTACCCAACCATCCATCAACCCACCCACCCATCCATCATCCATCTGCTCATCTGTCCATCCTCCATACATCCATCTGCGCCCATTTGTCCATCTACCCATGCATCAACCAAACCACCCGCTCATCCATCTACCCACCCACCATCCATCTATCATCCAACCATCTTCCCGACCCTCCACCTGCCCAACCAATCCATCCAGCTGCCATCTTCCAGAGGCCCCCTCTGAAGGGGCACTGAGGAGAATGAAAGGAGAAGGGGCAGGCCAGCAAGGCACTCACATGCTCTCACTGTTTGGGGGATCACACACCAACAGCTAAAGCTACAAAATGGTGTGAGGAGCACAAAGAGAGGGGCTGGGACCCCAAGGGCCAGGTTCCTGCCGAGCGCAGGAAAGCTGGAGACCGAGACTTCCTGGAAGAGGAGACACCTGACCCGAGTGCTGAAAGGTCACCAAGGATTTCCAGGCGAGGCACAGGGAAGAGACCTTGGAGTTGGAGAGATTGTACAGTGGGTAAGGTACAGCAGGTAAGGCAAAACTTGCCTTGCACAGGGCTAACCCACATTCAATCTCTGGTACCCTATATAGTCCCCCAAGCATTGCCAGGAGTAATTCCTGAGCTCAGAGCCAGGAGCAACCCCTGAGCACTGTCAGGTAAGTCCCCACCCCTCTACCCCCCCCCCCAAAAAAAAAGGGAGAGGGAGCCCAAGAGCATCTGTGTGTGCCAGAGATGACAAGGACAGCACATGCCCAGGGGACCCTAACATGCGGAGTGTGACCAGGAGCACAGGGGGTGGTGTGGGGCCTGGAGATCTGAGGGGAACAGTGGGACATTAATGCCAGGAGGGTGAGCTCATGCCTCCAGCAACAGTCTAAGGGGCGGGGGGGGGGATGCTGAATGTGGCTGGCCCCGTGGAAGAGCAGTGAGCCATTCTCATGGGGCTGGAACTGTGACAGTGCAGGTGGGTGTGCCCACACCCACCTCTCTTCACTACCCCACGCCCACACACACTTTCTGTGTTGTGTTAAGAGCTTTTGCTTTTCACTCTCCTGTCGACCACAGTTGTGCCCCGCTCTGCCTCACGTGTCCTATGAACGACACCGCGTTGGATTTTTAAAGGGCCTGCAGGAGAGGGTGGTCTGTTTTCATCCATCTCAGTAATGGGCAGTCGATTCCATTACAGTGAATCCATTAGGCCCATTCATGGAGAAAAAATAAACTCCTTCACCTGGCCCAAATTCCACCGATGATTTCAATAAAGCCCGAGCCCCACCCCCCCCACCAAAATATTTTCTTCGTCTTCTTCGTCATTTAAAGAATTGTATAGGCAGGATCTATTTCCATTTTCCAATGCCACAAAAAAATGTTAGGGGGGGGTCAACAAAGGATTCACTGTTTCTTTTTTTTTTTTTTTTTGCGGGGGGGTGTCACAACTGTGATGCACGGGGGTTACTCCTGGCTCATGCACTCAGGAATTACTCCTGGCAGTGCTCAGGGGATCATATGGGATGCTGGGAATCGAACCCGGGTCGGCCGCGTGCAAGGCAAACGCCCTACCCGCTGTGCTATCACTCCAGCCCCAATGTGTCTTTCAAAGAGTATCTAGCTAGTTCTCTTCTGGGCACCACACAGGGCCCCGGGTGCCATGCTGTGCTGGAGACAGCCCCCAACCCAACCCCCCAGACAAGTCCAGGTAGCCCCAGATCAGGAGGTGCGGGCCCCGTGGGCGAGGTGGCTGGAGCTGGCAGGCCCCCCTCACCTTCCGTCACCAGCTCCTCATCCTCGTTGTCGGTGCTGCTCAGCTTCTCGGCATCACTCTCCAGCGCCTCGCCCCGGGCACCCTTCTCCAGGGGCGCCTCGTTGCTCACAAAGTAAGCGGCCAGGCCGAGCTCCTGCTCCAACGCGGTGCGCACCAAGCAGGAGGAGTTAATCAGACGCAGGTCGCAGTACCGCAGAGACCTGGGGCACACAGAAGCCGGGGCTGAGCGCCTCTTCACAGAGGCCCCGTCTGCCTCACGTGGTCTGGACAGCAGTGCGCCCAGACGGGAAGGCAGATGGCCATGCTGTGAGGTCTGACAGGAACGTGGGGCGGGCACCTGCTTCTAGTTAGCGCTCAGCCACATGCAATCCAGAGCCTGACTTGCATGCGCCCCACCCTTTCCAGGGAGAGAATCTTCCAGAAGTTGTGCAACTTCTTAGATGCTCAGATTTTTCCGCCCCCCACGTTCAGTGGAAAGCTGGGAAGAATATTCATTACATCTAAGTGACTTGATGTGAGAATTCTACGGAATAAATGGACATTTACTCAATTAATATTTAAAATGCATCTGGGACTGTGAAGAACCTAGGAAATAAGGGTGAGCAAGGCATCGCCATATGGGAAACGAGGTCAGCTCAGGTCTGGGAGGACAGACCAGGAAGTAAGAAATATCTGGGAGCAAGCACCAAGGAAAGGCCCTCGGTCAGTGGTGGAGACAGCTGAGAGCTTGGAAGAAGGCGGATGCGGGTTCCAGTGTAGCTCACGGAACCACCTTGACCTCAGACAGATGCTGTTCATGTGCCCCTTTGGCATACACAATAGATGTAGGCACCTCTGCTACGGGCAGCTGAGACTGTTCAGAGGCTAGCATGTGCTTGTCACGGACAGGTACACGCTTGCTGACATTTAAAACAGAGTCCCATGCTGGCTCCGTCTTAAAGATGTTGAGGCATTAGGCACGGTGGGATGGGGGGAATGGGGGGTGGGAGGGATACTGGGATCCGTGGTGGTGGGAAATGGGCACTGGTGGAGGGATGGGTATTTGATCACTGTATAATTGAAACCCAAGCACAAAAATCTGCAAGTCTACAACTGTACCTCATGGTGTCTCACTAATAAAACTTGAAAAAAAAAAGATGTTGAGGCATGAAGGAATGAATCCAATGTGACATAGCATCCCCAAAGGGCAAACATTATGGAGCCCCTCGGTTGGGTCTCTGACTATGCTGTGAGCAGGGGTCCCTCAAGGGGAACAGCCAGACCCATCTCTGGAAGTCTCTGTACCTCCTTCAGTCGCTGGGGACCACTGGAACAACACATTTGCCCCATCTATACCGAGAGTAACATGGAATCAAGCCGACGAGGGGTCTAGTACCTGCCTCAGAGAGGCAGGAGCCTGGTGTTGGCCCTGCTGTTTCCTTACACCAGAAGAGGTGATTAGAGGCCTCCAGCACTTCTCATGGCTGCTCAGGTGATCTGCAACAGCCAGCCTGACACCACTGGCTCAAGTGACTAACTTTCTGGAAGCCTAGTGACCCATTTGAGTGCCGTGTGGCTGTAATAGCCCCAGAGACAGTGCCCAAATGGAAGAACTTTTCCTTCTAAGCATCATTAGCCAATTCCCCTCCCTTCCCAGAAGCCCTCCACACCAGGAGAGACAGACTCGCCAGCACACCTGGGCACCAGCAGCAAAGTAACCCACTTATCCCTCACCAAGTCCCAAGACAATTCAGTATTTCTCAAATGGAGCAGACATCCATAACACAAAGTGGCACCGCGACTCGTCACGTCACGGTAAGAAGCTGAGCAAGGCATTGAACCCCTATTCCAGAGACAGGACCCCTCCCCACACACTCAAAGGCTGCTGGCCCCCATATCTGAAGGAAAGTTGTCCTGGCCTCAAATCCATTTGCTGGATGTAAGATACGGGTCTATTATTGTGGCTAACGCCACCTATTGTTGGGCAGCGGAATGACACACCCCTTCCACTCACCTTGGTAAGGATTCCCCCTGCGGGTCCATCCCACTGAAGATCAGGATGCAAGGGAGGCCCTCCAACTCCAGGTAAGTCTGAGGTCTCCACTCCGCATCCTCAATTTTCTGCCACATCTGCAGGTAATTAAAGAGACACAAAGTCCTAAGACTCCTGCTGGGAGACCTTGATTTCCTACTGATTTAACACCTGCAACACGTCCTCTGCTTGAAAAGGTGAGTTCTTGATTCTGTAAATAAACCCATTCCCAACATCCCCAGCTGTGTGCAATACTGCCTGGCATATATCCACCACACAAGAAATAACTCCTACATCGATTCTTCCAGAGAAAGCCCAGGGCCCCAGCTGCTTTTCTCTTCTTTTACCCTGTAATCTCAATCGTGGATCTCTGCCTTTCACTCGTAATTCCTTCTAACTAATTCTTTCAAAATCTTCCCTCTGAATCTCTCTTTCTGTATGCTTCATCACCTATAAATTTTGTGAGAAACTATTATGGACCAGGAGCTGTGCTCATGTGGATGGCTGAGATCTGCAGGGAGGCTCTCCACACTCTAGGAGGAAGCGGGTGACAGGTAGGTGAATGATTTGTGGGAGGAGTCGGGGAGTTTCAGATGCGGGGGGAGGGGGTAGCTTCCTGACAGAGGGAAAGACATGGAGTTGAAAGTTATAGACAGATGAGTACTAGGTGAAGAAAAAACCACACCCACAGGAAAAAAAAACTTGTATGGAGAAAATGGGGGGCAGGGAAGTATTGAAGACTATGATTGGTCATTTTACAGACCCTTCCTTGCATTAGAGTACACACAATCTGACGGGTCAACTCGCAAACTCTCATTTACAAAGACTATAATCAGGGGCTGGAGTGATAGTACAGCGAGTAGGGCGTTTGCCTTTCATGAGGCTGACCTGGGTTCGATTCCCAGCATCCCATATGGTCCCGTGAAGACCGCCAAGAGTAATTCCTGAGTGCATGAGCCAGGAGAAACCCCTGTGCATCGTTGGGTGTGACCCAAAAAGAAAAATAAAAGAATAACCAATCAGATAGAAGCAACAGCTAAGGGGTGAGGAGTTGGATAAGCTCCGGTTTCTATAGAATGAATGGAATTATTAACAGTTGTTGTCTTAGTCCTGAAGATTTCCTGCTGAGCTCTACTTCCCAAATGGGCTGTAAATAAGGAGCCACACTGAAGACATCTAGTGGTCAGTGTGCTTCTCTAATGCATAAGAACACAAAGGAAAGTGAGATAGGCTGAAACACCCTTTTTTTCGGGGGGGGGGGGCTTTCTTGGGTCACACCCAGTGATGCTCAGGGCTTACTCCTGGCTCTGCACTCAGAAATTACTCCTGGCGGTGCTTGAGGGAGACCAAATGGGATGCCGGGGATCGAACTGGGGTTGGCTGCATGCAAGGCAAATGCCCTACATGCTGTTCTATGTGGGATGCCGGGGATCGAACCGGGGTTGGCTGCATGCAAGGCAAATGCCCTACATGCTGTTCTATGGCTCCAGCCCCAAGGCTGGCACACTTCTACCCCAATGTTTGAAAGAACAAGACTTGTGCTCTGGGGGATCACTGAGGATGTTTATAAGTAACTCGACACCAACAGATGCAGGAGGGAAGACAGTGGAGTGTGGAGAGGGAAGCCAGTTCAGCTGCGCCTGGAGGCTGCACAGACCTCCTCGCCAGCTCCCTGACCCCTTACACCACCACGCCCACCTGCTCTCCCGCGGCTGCTCTGCTCGGCACTCCCTTCCCGACCCCCGAGACCCACCTTGAGCTGCTTCACGAAGTGCTTCCCCACAGTGATGCCTGAGCTGGGGTTGCCCAGGATGATCTCAAAGTGCTCCTCCAGCGCCAGCCGCGCCCGCACATGTGCCAGGCGCTCGTAGGCCACAGCGGCCAGTGGCGAGCAGGGGACCCGCAGCAGCACCATGAGCCCGTGGCCGCAGGGGCACTGCTTGGGGGAGTTGATGAGGTTCTGGGTGATCTCCAGCGTCTCCACCGATGTGTAATTCTTCATCTGCGAGAGGCCACTCACGGCCATCATGGCAGCTGCGTAGTGCTGCACCAGCACAAAAGTCCTGATCACCGCGCTGTGCAGGCGGGGGAACCTACAAGGAACAGAAGGCATGAGTGATGGGGCCAGTGGGATCCTGCAGTTCCTGAGGCCACCTGTGACCCTAGACACGAGGGAGCCTGCCACGACACAGAGGGTGTGAGCCTGGGCTCATGTGGAGACCTGCAGTCAACAGGGAGAACACGTATGAGCCCAGGAACCTGGATATGCAGCGGAGAGAGCACAGGGCTGGGCCAAGGACCCCGGGAGGCTCCCGGAGGAGGAAGACCTTCTAGATAACAAAGCAGCCCGAACCAGAGCCACTGTGAGCACGGGTGACTCCCGGATTACAAATGAATCATTTCTTTAGGAAGCAAGCCATGTGCAACCTGACACGGAGTCCTTAGAATCGAATGATGAACTGTCATGTCACTTCCACTTAGGAAGCAAATGCATCAATCCCGTGTCACTGGTGATTCTTTGTTTTCCAGGACCTGCCTGTAAGGAGCTGCTCAATGAACATTTGCGCAAAAACTCAAAATCAATGCCTATTGACTGACTTCGTCTCTAATGGACTCTCTGGATAGTTCCTTGAGTTAGGCAATGGGTCCCAGGTTCCCACTGGAAATAGGAGAATTACCAGCAATCAGGGTGTAAACGCAGAGCTGAGACACGCCACTGCATGCATTTCCCTTTAGCAGTGCAACAGAAACGAAACTAAATGTGGTCCCAGCTGATGGACTTATAACCCAGAGCACAACCAGACCAGGAATCTCTGGTTTTGCTGCCGAGACCAAGTGAACAAGGTGTCTCCAGGCCAAAGTGGGGACCATTCCCACAATCACCCACGGTCCAGAGCAACTCTGGAAAGCCCTCATCACTGTGGGTCACTGGGCATTTCTTGGCAGGAATAAACAAACAGGCATGCATGTCATAGGTGTTTAGGTGGAATGAGTTCCTTGATTCAGAGGCTTTGGGGTGCCAAGGCCATTATCCATATACAAAGACAAGATCCCCAAATTTGCTGTTTTCTCTAAGACTCATTGCTATCCACTGTGAACGGCCTGTAAAACGCTTGTGTGCAGACTTTCTGTGGTTTCAGAGGGATGGCCAATTTGTCCTGTGAGTGGGGTTCTGCCTGGGCTCCCAGCAGAGCTGAGGGTAGGCATGTCCCATCCCATCGAAGATGGGAGAAGAGGCTTCTAAGTGGCACCGTGTTCACATGTCATGTTCTCATGTCAAGTCACCCCCATGACAGGAGCAGTCATGCTGTGCAAGGAGGCGGTGTATTGCATGCTCTCTCTCTCTCTCTCGTTCTTTCTCTCTCTCTCTCTCTCCTCTTCCCTGTCTCTCTATCTCTCTGTCTCTCTCTCCCTCTTCCTCTCCTTCCAGTTCATGGGACAGAGCAAGGTAATCTTTGGGCTACTAGAGACCCCTTTTTAGTGTGTTTGGATTTTGTTTGGGGCTACAACCCAGCAGTGATGTAGGGGGTGGTAGTGGCCTCAGGCACCATTGGGGGTGGCTGTTTGTTTTCTTTTATAATTAAAAAAAGGGAAAGGGCATTCCTAGTGATGCTCAGAGGTTACTCCTGGCTCTGCACTTAGGGATCAGTCCTGGACCACACAGAATGTCATGGAGCAAACTTGTGTCAGCTGCATGCAAGGAAAATGTCCTGCCTACTGTACTATCTCTCCAGCCCCTCTGTTTTGTTATTGTTTTAAAAAGCTGGTTTTTAGGGGTACAATGAGAATTATTTTTTTTTTGAAAAGCAAGTGATACGCCAAGTTAAGTCTGAAAAACTCTGACCCAAATGGATTAGAGGCTTTTAGGACAGTTCCTGTTCCCACCTCCCATGTGGAAACCACCACATGGGAGCCTGCAGGGGACTTGCTTTGACGGCTCATTCTCAGAAGGGGTAAAGACAGTTACAGACTACAGCCTAACTTGGGCTTCCCTGTCAAAGTTTAAAAATGACTTCAAATGATTCAACTATTTCCAAGCAATTTTGCTCTCACCCAGAAGATTTATAGAAATGTATGCTCTTCCACACAAGGTAAAATTGTCAGTATCTGACATCAACTCAAGATCACCAGATATGTAAAGAGAAAAATAAGAGTTCAGAGCATGGACAAGGAAAAATCAATTCATAAAAACTGACTCATAAATGATATGGGTGAAAAAATTAGTAGACCAACGAATTAAAATATACTAACTATATTTCATGTTTAAGAAGTTAGAGGAAAGACTGGCCATGTTAAGTAGCAAACTAACGATCTTTAAAAGAAACCGATCAGGGCTGGAGCGATAGTACAGTGGGTAGGGCATTTGCGTTGCATGTGGCCGACCCAGGTTAAATCTCCGGCATTCCATATGGTTCCCCAGCACTTCCAGGAGTGATTCCTGAGTGCAGAGCCAGGAGTAACCCCTGAGCATCACTTGGTGTGAACCAAAAGGCAAAAAAAAAAATAATTAAAAAAAAGAAAAGTGATTATGTGTGTGAGATAAAAGCCAGCAGGTCTGAGAGAGATGAGGAACTGGGCCCTGAATTCTCATACATCTTCACTAAGCATCTGACCTTGCCCTCCAGCTCCCTTAGGTGGGTTTAGGGATGAAGATCTGTCCTGGGAATGATCATCAGTCTTTTCTTGGGATTTTTGCACTATAAAAAAAAGAATCGTTTGGCTTCTGGAAGATGGAAAGAACAGGTGAAATTCAGAAACAATATATACACATAGGAAATATCTTTCAAAAGTCGGACATAGGGATAGTACAGTGGGTAGGGGTTTGCCTTGCATGCAGCCGACCCAGGTTCAATCCCCGGCCTCCCAAATGGTCTCCCCAGCACCGCCAGGAGTAATTCCTGAGTGCAGAGCCAGGAGTAACCCCTGAGCATTGCTGGGTGTGACCCAAAAAGCGGGGGGAAAAAGTCGGACAAAGGGTGTGCTAGTATAGGAATGATCCCTGAGCACAGAGCCAGGAGTGATCTATGGGTACTACTTGGTACTCCCTCACAACCCCAAAGCAGGGGTTGGGTGGTGAAGCGATAGTACAGGGTATAGTTATAGTGTTTGTCTAGTTTGCGGTTGACCCCACCAGATGTGGCTCTGAAAACTAACTAAACACATACATGTGTGGGTTTGAACTGTGTGTAGTCACTTACACATGGATTTTTATGGAAAAGAGAATATACTCTTGTGTTATTGAGAGAACATGGATGTTTTTACTTCCATGGGATTTTCTTAGTATTTTCTCTAGTTTGCTTTTCTGTAAGAATAGAGTCTACAATATATACTACACAAAATTTGTGCTAGACAGTTGCGGATGTTAAGGTAAGGCTATTGTTCAGTAGTAGTTTGGGGGTGTTAAAAGTTACATAAGAATTTCTGAACATGCAGGGGTTGGGGGGGGGTCAGCATTCCTACCCTCACAATGCTCAAGTGCCAAGAGTATTTGCAAACTGAGGATAATAATAGCAACTGGCTTGGAGAGGAAGGGAGGATTAAGGAAGACAGATAATACAGTCCGGTCTTCAGACAAATGCATGTCACCCAAACAAGTCCCCAAGAGAGGAGATGTAGAGGAAAGAGGCACGAAGCTGAGGGGAGTCTCACCAGGGATTCCCATCTAACATTTTAGTGTCTTCCTTCCCATTTTCTTGCCCTTCTTGAGTCTCAAACACACAAAGCTATATTCCAGCCGATTCCCCTCCCCCCCACACACCCATACTCATCTAAGATTCTTAACCAGCAGCACAACTGAAACCACACTGCCCAAAACACAAGATAAAAAAATACTTCAGAGTCTCCTTAGGGCAGGTTGTGGGTGGGTTTGGGTCATACCTGACAGGACAGAGGAGTTACTCCTGGCTCTATGCTTAGGGATCTCTCCTGGCAGTCCCTGGGGACCATGTGGTGATGGGAATGGAAATGGGGTCAGCTGCATGCAAGGCAAGAGTGTTAACCCCCCCTCCCCCCCCCCCACCCCAGACAATCTCTCTTAGCCCCATCAGGGTCTCTTTAATGGAGTCACCCAGGAATGATGACTCCCTTTCGACCTCCCCTGACTGCAATCCCCAACTGGCACTTACTGACACATTTCAACCACTCTGAAGGGACATGCGTACCTCTTTCCCAGGGCCGTGACCATGGCCTCAAAGGAGCTGTCGTACCGGAGCAGGGGGAGGCTGTGTCCCGAGAGGGTGGAGTCGATGAATTCTGACAGCCCAAAGTACTTCTTGTTCTCAGGATACAAATCCACTCCCTGAAAGAGAGAAGAGCTTCAGTCACTTCCAACACTGATTCTGCAGGGATGAGGAAGTTTGCAGATGTGTGAGCTGGCCACCTAAATGGGCAGCACCACCAATACTCTGCTGCTTCTACAGTTCCTTGAGGGCAGTGAAGGGACTTCCTGTCTCAGACAACCAGGGACATGGAACCCTCCAAGTACCAGGTGCACCCCGGTCAGTCACATCCGCTCCAGTCACTTCACCCCACTGTCTGCCTCAACTGTAGCTTTGTCCTTTCTTTTTTTCTTTTTGGGTCACACCCGGCTATACTCAGGGGTGACTCCTGGCTCTGCACTCAGGAATTACTCCTAGCGGTGCTTGGGGGATGCAGAGATTGAACCCAAGTCAGCCGCTTACAAGGCAAACTCCTACCCATTGTACTATTGCTCTGGCTCCAACTTTGTTCTTTTTTTAACCTCTAACTTCTTCACATAATCACTTCTTTCCAATAATTTCAGCTGGCTTTAGGAAAAGGAATGTTTGCCTTCCTGCATTGTACTGCTATTCATGTCAACAAATACAGAATGCATTTATTTCATTGAGTACCCATGTTGTCTTGATGGAATTTTCTACTCCTCTCTAGGTAACATCAGTTTCTCAAACTTCAGAGTAAGGACAAGTTAGGGCAGTGATGATAAAATACAAAGATCCACACACTTTACCCTCTAATAAAGAGGATGTTAGAGCCAGCAAGGAGGGGTTCTGTCCCAGATCTTTGCCCCTTTCTAGCTACATGATCTTAACCGGTGATTGACTCCCCTGCTCTGCCTCATTTTCCCCATTTGTAAGTCAAATTTTTCTAACAAATACCTTCTCTATGAGTTTACTGAGCATGCTCTGGAGTGTGACTGTCATTACAATTACTGATTCTAAATCAACTGGATAAGAATCAGGCATCTGTGACTTTCATCTGTGAGTTTCCCTGAGGGACAAGAGAGATAGGGAAGGTTCAGTAGGTGTCACCCTAAAATAAAACCTGCCAGGTTTGGCGCTGTGTGTTCAGTTAGTGGAAGAAAATTCGAACCCTGCTGCTCAGACTGCAGACTCTAGAAACACAGAAGTTTTCGTTGACACACCGTGTTCTGAGATGGAGAAGACAATGCAATTCAGGAGGGCTTCAAAGGGCAGAGAGAGGGTCGGAGAACCCGCAGCGGGGTAGAGTATGTGTTTTGCAGGAAGGAGATGTAGGCTGGATTCTCCAGCACTGCACGGTCCCCTGAGCACCTCTGGAAGTAACCTATCCTTCTTCTGTCCACTTTGTTTTATTTTTGATTTGGGGCCACACCCCAGCATGCTCAAGAGCAATGAGCTTGGAGTTTCCCTGAACACTGATACAAGTAATAAAGAAAAAAGAAAAAAAAAGAGTTCAAATGTGACCCTGGGTGGCATGAATGAGCCGAGGATCTGGAACCCTCTTAACCCCTAATGGCGCCAAGTGAGTCCAGATTTTCACTGAGCAGAATTTGACTCCCCGCACTCACATTACTGTAGGGGGCTGGCCAGTGGATCTCGTTGTATGGGCTGATGAGGGTGTGCTGGGTCTGCAGCGCGTAGGGGAAGGAGGTGACATGAAGAGTGACGATGTTGGGGGCCTCCTTCACCTCCCTGCAGTTGAGCAATCTGTCCACCAATCCCACCGATGGGTCGCTCTGGGAGTAGAGATTATGAACTGCGCTGCTGAGGGGGAAGAAGAGAAGAAGCAGTGAGTGTCTGTGAGTGAGTTCCCTGGGGCCAGGAGGTGGGACAGACTTGGGGATAGACTCTCCTGGGTCAGTAATAGAAGCTTACGGCCTTGCCCCTAGCTGACTGGCCAGGACCCTCCCAATATCCACGTGCCATTATAAACTGGGGGCAGGATTTCTAGAGGATTTTAAGATCCACCATTTGGTATGTACCGCCCCCCAGACTCCCCCAATCCCTTATTCAGAACTGTGATTCTCCAGTGGGGTTCAAAGAATGGGCTCTTTGTCTTGGGTCCAATTTTTACCTGTCTCCTTAATTGTTTTCAAAGTCTTAGTGACCTTGCAAATGACCCGAAGAGGAAATAAAGGGGCAATAGCTACACTAAATCTGAGAGCATCCCAGCTGCAATGGGACAGACTGGGGACAAGGGCTCTGGTCTAGCTAACAAGCCCAAGTTGGTCTTTCTCTGGAGGACCAAGACCTCCGGGTTTGGTAAATCTGAGGGAACACGAAGAGCAGGCTTGACCTTTTCGATGGCATGTGATTACCTAACCCTCTATAATAAATATTTGGAGTACCTTAACTCCCAATAATAAATATTCCCAGGACAGCCTGTAACATAAAATTCCCCAACCACCTCCCTTAGCCCCCACCACCCCCTCTCCAACACACACACCCTAGATTCGCCAAGATGAGCCTACAGCTCAGGCCAGCCCCGAGCTCCCACGAGCTGTGATCAAGCAAAGTTCCTCCTCCCAGACTGGACCCCTGGTCTTCCCTCCTCACCCCCCTCAGTAGCTGTGTCCAAGTGCACGAGTCCCAGGCCAGTGTTCTGGACCTAGGGAAGCCACAGGGAAGCCAGCAGAGGGTCAGGATCTGGCCTGACACTGCAAAAGTCCTGCCCCCAAAGAAGGGCGGCACCAGCAAAGATAAGGTCCAGTAGGGCCCCCAGCACAATGAGACTAGACAGCATCCTCCCCTCCAACCACATGGTACCTCGTCACTGAGCAGGGTACAGACAAAACTGCCGCTCAGGGGGACCTTGGTTCTAGGCCAGCTTGATCCCTTACACCCTCATGCCCCCAGAACTGTGAGACCAGAACTCAGTAGCTTCCCTTGCCCAAGCCTGGGTATCTGTCCACAAGGGAAAACTTCCACAGTCGTCCCCAAAGATCCCAGTGACAGCGCCCAGTTCTAAATTCCCCAAATACATCTCTGCCTGCAGACACCAAGTCCCACCCCCACCACGCATCCTTTTGAAGACCTGCACCCACCAACCCAAGTCTCGGCCACTTTCATGAGTCCAGAGAAAGGACAGTACCAACCCTGCCCTTTGGTCCCCCTAACCTCACGAGATCCCAGTGCGCGTGGTCGTGGATTAGGACAAAGAGCGTGTGCGGATTCTGAAAGGAGTTTTGCAGAAAGGACTTAAATTTAGTCTGCGCCTCTGCATCTAACTTCAAGACATACTGCTCGACCCTCTGCTTGGTCATGTGCTCCTTTTCCAGGCCGAGTTCCAGCAAAACCCCTGCAACAGAGGACAAACACGTCAGTTACGCCAACTGCAGATTCCACATCTTCCTCTCCTCCCTGACTGCTGGTGCTGTGCTAAGTCACAGGACCTCACGGCCCAGAGCATGTTGGGGACCCACAAGTCTGTGATAACCACCATGCAATGGACTCTGTGGGGGCTGGGAGGGGCACAGCAAAGCTGACTTCATGGACCAGTTGGGCCCAGGCAGCATGTTCCAACCACCTGCAAAACCATCTCCAGGGATGTCACAGGCCGTGGAGTGGATGCTCAGAGTTAAAATACTGACTCTATGTACTTCCCACTTAATCCCCTTGGGAAGCTCAATGGTGACTCAATGGCAAGACACATCCTATGCAGGCATGAGACCTCGGTCGGAACCCAAGCACCACAAAAATAGAGCATGGGAGAAATATAGTAGGTGGAATGCCAGAATCAACACCTGGGTTGTTAACTTGCATGGGACAGAGCGCAGATTCAAGGGCGGGAGAGACAGCACAGGGATTAAGGAGCTTGCCTTAGATCCCGCCAACCCCAACTCAATTCCCCGGCAACACCTATGGGCCCCCAAGCAGAGAGTGAGGAACAGCCCCTACACTCTGCTGGCTGTAGCCCCCACCTCACACGCCCCCCCAATTAAAAATTCACATCACAGCTGTACCTTTAATTAATGATAAAACGTCAACCAAGTCACTACCTACCCCCACCCCCAGGCTCTGTTTCATGTTCTATGAAACCCTATCTGGGCTTTGGGTTCATCTCTGCTCCTACGGTAATGAGAGCTGATGTGGGGCCCCGCCCTGGGCAGGCCTCGTACCTGAGTGCCAGACGTGGAAAAGGGTCTGCTGGTAGGTCACTTCCGAGGGTGGAATACAAATCAGGAAGTCCACCTTCTCAAAGGATCCTAAGTCCAGATTCTGGGTACTAGAATCCGCAATGGAACACACGTGGGAGAGGAGCTTCTGAGCCACGGCCAGCTGGAAGGGCCGCAGGCAGTGCGGCTCCAGACCGTAACCTGGAACCAGACCCCGGGAAGATGAAGGGCACGAGAGCAAGGCCACTGCCCCGGGCCTCTGCCTGGGGACCCACCCAGGGCCTGCTCTGGGCGCCAGGCCAGGCCTGACACTGCTCCCTCTCTTCATTGAGCATCCTCATGGGCCCCAGGCCCTGGGCAGCACTGGGGCAGTGACCCCCTGGAGCCTCCCAGGGATGCTCCCCCAGGGATGCCGACACTGGACTTGGGAACAGGCTGCAAGCTCTCTGGAAGAGAAGCCGACCACAGGCCATTGGGAACTGAAGAGGAGTGAAGTATTTCAGCAGTGCACTGACAAGCTGGCAATAACATGGAGAAAGTCACCCGGCGGGAAAAGCAGGCAGGGGGACATTTGGGGAGAAAGAGAGACGACTGCTTATAAAGACTAACATTAAAAGAACTTCCTTAGCTACTTCGATGCCAAGGAAATGCCCGCGTCTTTGGCAGTGCCTCTCATGTGGCCTGCTCGTGGTCCCTAGACATACTTAGCCCCAGACCTCCTCCAAGTCAACAGCTCTCATGTGGGTCTGCGCCCCCCCTCACTCACTTGTGCAGGCCGGCGTCCCGCTGGCCTCCAGGCTGGCTGGTTTGGTGACCGAGGGGGGAAGCGAGGAAGAAATATGGCCCTGATTTTCCTGCTGAAATTTGTCCAGCAAGTTGTCGATGTCGCCCTCTGTCCAAGAGAGAGAACAGATGGGCTTGGCATGGGGAGAGACCTTCTGCAAACATCTTCCCCCCCCACCCCTAAAAATCCAAATTGGGCAGTGGGCAGAGGGTGCAGAATACACCCGAGGAAATTGTAGAGTGCCACACAGTAGGTGATGGAAAAGAAGGTAAAGTAAACCAGAGAATGGGGGACGGGAGGAGGAATCTGCACCAGCCGAGAGGAGGGCTAGGGATGGGCCGGTGTGTGTGTGTGTGTGTGTGTGTGTGTGTGTGTGTGTGTGCGCGCGCGCGCACGCGCGCATGTGCACAATCTAGAAAAAGGAAAGGGCACACAACATTGAATACCAGGAATAAGGCACCACGTAGCTCTGGTGAGAGTTCCACCAGTCAGAGGGGGGAGGCACAGTGATGGACAGAGCCAAAGAGGTAGAGAAGAACAAGCATCCCCCCGACCCAAGGCAGAAGTTGGAGTCCCCGCTAAGGAGCACTTGAGCCTGAACAGGAATGCAGTCATCCTGCACCCTGCAAGTGACTAGGAATTCCACTGCGCAGGGTGAAGGGGCCCCCTGGACCCCTACGTCAAGACAGCATTGTGGGGAATGGGCATCAAAAGTGGGCGCCTCCTGCCACTCCCCCACTGCCTGCCATTCCGCCTCACTGAGCAGCTCGTGAATGTGTCCCGTGCCGAGCCTACCTGGACAGAGCGTGCTGAAGAAGGCGCCCAGGGAGTCCACTTTGCCCGTGACCAGCTCGTAGCTGACTTCCTTCTGGTACTCCGCGGGGCTGAGCAGGCTCTCGGAAAGAATCCGGGCTTGGTACTTTCCTGGAAAACGGGCAAGTCCTGCTGCTGGCTCCAGATTCGAGGGCTGTGCCCCCATCTCTTCCCCAGAGCCCTGCACAGACCTGCCCAGAGCAGGTGAGCACCTGAGGGAGAGAGCAGGGGAGCTCCCCACCGGCACCAGGCAACTCGACAGGACCCGAAGAGGGGGAGGGCCAGAGAGACAGCACAGGGCTAAGGTGCTTCCCTGCACGTGGCCCGTCCAGTTCAATCCCCAGCATGACATATGGTCCCCTGGGCAGAGCAAGGAGTGAGCTCGAAGCACAGACCAGGTGAGGCCAAGAATCAAAGACAAAGGGGAAAGGCAACAATCCTTCAGGGTACAGGCTCCTGCACATCTTCATCCTTACACCCCCTTTCCAAAATCACTTTAAAATATCACTCAGTGTCCCCCATTCCCCGGACCACTCCCCACCGGAAGTTTACCTTCTTCATGTGAACAAATAGCATCTCCCAACTGCAGCCACCTGCGCCCACTAGGTGGCCCACCCCAGGGTGCTCCAGTGTCTCCCGGTGGCAGGACTGCCCACTCTGGGAAGCACTGCTCCCTAGGAGGGAACCCGGATGCCACTTAGTGGCTGAGACTCCAGGGTGAGTGACGCCAACTCCTCGGCTGTGCCCTGCACTCACAGCGGGATACACGACTGCTCATGGTGAGGGCTGAGCAAGACACTATGGAACTGTCCAGCGCCTGGCTCACAGCTAGGGCCACGGGTGGACCACAGGGTCCACACTCCAACCAATGATAAAGCCTGAGACCAACCCCACAGACAGAATGACCAAGGTCAGGGTAGGGTGGGAGGATATTAGCCCTGTGTGACAGAGCAACAGATGTACCCCTAAAACAGAAACATTTGCAGCTTTGTAAACCAACGTTACCTCAATATAAAATGCACTTAAAGTGCACAAAATTAGATCAGGATCAGAAGGCTAAAATGCAGAATAATTATATATATATATATCTTTTTCCCTAATTGATATAGCATTGGTTAACAACAATTATGTATTTTCAGACGTAAAATATATGAAACCCAATACTCTCTCTAATTTTGGGCATTACATTTTGCTCAAAATTTCACACCACCATGGGTAAGATCTGGAATGTGGGTGGTCGAGAATGTGCACTGGTGGAGGGATGGGTGTTTCATCATTGTTTAGCTGAATCTCAAACATGAAAGATTTGTAACTCTATCTCATGGTGATACAATTAAAAAAAAAAAGTAATGTGGAGTTCTCCATTGGAGACTTTGTTGTTACTGTGTCTGGCATATCGAATACTCTCGGTAGCTTGCCGGGCTCTCCGAGAGGGGCGGAGGAATCGAACTCAGGTCGGCCATGTTGGCCGCTTGTAAGGCGAACGCCCTACCGCTATGCTATCGCTCCAATGACTGAACAAATACAGTACTCCTAAAAGGTAAAGGTAAAGGCCCTCCCGTTGATCGTCGATTTGCTCGAGCGGGCCCAGTAACATCTCCACTGGAGACTTTGTTGTTACTGTGTTTGGCATATCGAATACTCTCGGTAGCTTGCCGGGCCCTCCGAGAGGGGCGGAGGAATCGAACTCGGGTCGGCCATGTTGGCCGCTTGTAAGGCGAACGCCCTACCGCTGTGCTATCGCTCCAGCCCTTTAATTAAGTACTCCTACTTAATTAAAAAAATAATATGACACCCATGTTACCATTTTTGCGCATGGTAGCAGGAATCAAACCCAGGACACAATTGTGTCGTTTTTCCCCAGTGTGTCAAAAAACAAAAGCCCCGAATCTGAGTAGGCTGACTGAACAAAGATGACCTGAAATTTACAAGTCGGCCCACCAAGAGCCACGAGTATGAAGGGGAAAGTCTGAAAGAATGGCACTTAACAACTTGCGACTACTGTGACAGCCCTAGCTGGAGACATCTATGTCCACAACTCTTTATTACTCATGACCCAGGGCGAGCTCTGGAGTCACAACTCTTTAAGAAATTGCTAGTGTCATTTTCTCTCTGTTCTTTTCTCTTTTTTTTGGTGGTGATGATGGTGGTGGTGGTGGAATCTAGGTCTCCAGTCTGGCTCCTGGCTCTGTGCTCAGGGATCACTCCTGGCAGAGACTGGAGGCCCCTCTGCGGTGCCAGGGACAGAACTGGGTCAGAGGTGTGCAAGGAGGGCATCTTTCCTCCTGTTCATCTCTCCAGCGTCCCCGTGTTTCCCCTAGAACAGGATGAAGTTGGACTGGGGCACTGTCTGCTCCGACAGGATGGAGTCGCTGCATAGAACCAGAGAACATCCTCAAAGAGCCCAGAAGAAACCCAATGCCCCAGTCTCTTCCGATGAGCTGTATGCTACGTCCCGTCCTCCACCAGCAACCAGGCCACGCCCCTTTGAAGGATCCCACTTTTTAGACTCCAATTCTCCAGTTCCCTGTGCTACTCACCTCTGAGAATTCCCCAACTCTGCAAATCCCCAGGTCATCCCGGACATCTTCCCTTTGTCCTCTTCTGATCCCACACTCCTGTCCTCTTGGCTGAGACACCCTGTCCCAGCAAACAGTCTCTGTCTGGCCAACAGCCTTCTCCTACAATATCTGCTCCCCCCGCCCCCATCCCACCCCCCACCACCTTCCTCTACCTCTGTTTCCAAGCTGCCAGACACAAATGCAGAAGCACGGCTCAACCCCCTGCCACTTCCCATCACTTCAGATCCCCCTGGCGGGAACTGCAGCCCAGACCCTCACGAAAAGCCTCCCTGCATCCAGCTCCCCAAACTGTCCATTTCCCGAGTCCTCATGAAATGAAGCCCAATCCTACTCCTTCACGCGCCTTGATTCCTTCAAATGCACTGTGACAACTTCTTAAGAGAGAGAGTCTCTCAAGAGAGAGAGTCGCTCCTTCCTGTGGTCAGTCTCTCCAGAGCCCAAGCCTTGGTCACTGGTCCCCATACCCCCACCCCTGCAGATGGCTGTGTTGGTGACATCAGCAACCATCCTGCTGACAGAGGACAAGCTCAGTGTCCAACCTGCTGGATGCGGCAAGAGCAGCTTTCTGACCTGACCAGCACCTTGTCCTTCGGGAATCACACCGCCACCCCCCACCCCAGGCCTCCTGAATGCCTTCCCAAACCCCCAGCTTCTCCTTGGGCATCTCCCCTTCCGCTTTCTCCTCTCCAGGGCAGGGCCTCTGCTCCTCTGCTCTGCACTGACTGGAGGCCACAGCCTTTCCGTCTCTGGGCTTTGCTTCAAACCTCATGAACGCTACTGTCTCCCTTCATCACCCGCTCAGTCGTCGGACCCCGCTGCCTGCAGTCTGTGCGCCCCCCATCAGACGGCAGCAGAGCTGGTCAAAGAGAATCTGAGCTCCATGCCAGCTCTTTTCCACCTCTGTCCTCCACACGCCAACCATTTTCAAATGAAACCAAATGACAGTTATGCGGCCCTGTGCCCATGCCTGAACCCTCCCGGGGGTGTCTGGACACTGCTCTCTTCACACGCTCCCCTGAAACGGTGGCAAAGCCTAAAGGCACCATCCAAAGTGCACCCAGAATCAGGCCCCTTCTCACTCCCTCCCCCAACTTGGGCTCTGCATGGTGAACGCAGCAGCCTCTTCTCTCAGGCTGGCCTCCTCCCTCAGTCTAGATACACCCCCACCCTCCAAGTCCATCCTCTCTAACACAAGAGTCAGAAAAAGGCCTCGAGGAACCTTGATCTGTTCTGCACTTTACTAAAATGTGGATAACGAAGAAAAGCAACTCCCAGTAGGACCCTGTGGAGCTGGAAGGTTGCCCCGTGCCTGCTTCCTCCACATTCAGAAGTCGGCCAGGTGTGTCTGGAAAGAGTGATTTAAGTATGGGTGTGAGCAGCAGTGTGTGAACGTGTTATGAGTGTGTGTGAAACTGAACGTGAGGGCATATACATGTGTCACGTGAGTATGTGTGTGAATGTGGACATGTGAGCATATATATATATATCCAGGAGAATGTATATGTGAGCATACGTGTATAAATGCGTATGTGAGCATTTGTATTACCATGTACATGTGAGCATGAATGCATATGTGTGTGAATGTGTGTGCATATATACATGGGAGAATGTGTTTATGGGAATGTGTGTGTGGATGTGGATGTGTCCATACATGTGAGTGTATATGTGTTAGCATGTGTGTAAATGTGTATATGTGAGTGTGTATGTGAGTACGTATGTGCATGTGAGAGTGTGAATATGTCTATGTGAGCATGAGTGTGTGTGTGGTGGATGTGTGTGAGTGTGGTGTATGTGTGCAAGCATGCACATGTGTGGGTGTGTATGTGTGTGTGCATGCACACGTGAGTGTGGGTGTGCATACACATGTGTGATATGTGCATGTGGTACACATGTATGTGCATGAACATATGTGTGGATAAGTGAGTGTGGTATACAAGTATGCGCATGCATGTGTGTGGATGCTGTGAGTGTGATGTGCGTTTGTGTGCATGCACATGTGTATGTGTGAGTGTATACGTGTGTGCATGCATGTGTGTGGATGTGTGAGTGTGGTATATGTTTGTGCATGCACATGTGTGTGGATATGTGAGTGCGATGTACATGTGTGCATGCACATGTGTATGTGTGAGTGTGTATGTGTGTGCATGCATGTGTGTGGATGTGTGAGTGTGGATGTGTTGTGTGTATGCACATGTGTGTGGATGTGTGAGTGTGGTATATGTTTGTGCATGCATATGTGTGTGCATGTGAGTGTGGTGTACATGTGTGCATGCACATATGCATGAATGTGTGTAGTTTACATGCATGTGCATGTACATGAGTGTGGGTGTGAGTATGGTATACGTGAGTATGCATGCACATGTGTATGTGTGAGTGTGTACATGTGTGCATGCATATGTGTGTGGATGTGTGAGTGTGTGTACATGTGTGGGTGTATTATGTGTGTGTGTGTGTGTGTGTGTCCGTCATTCTGAGAGAGAAGGCTGCTCTGTCCAGGGCAGGACCCCGCTCACCCCCTGAGATGCCAGGCCGGGCTTAGCCACCACACGTGGGAGCTGGCAGAGCCACACCCGCCCAGGCCTCACCGGTGACGGCGATGCACGAGTCGATGGCAGCGTTGCGGCAGGCGCAGATGATCACCACGTAGTTGGTCTTGGCCAGCTTGCCCTCGACGAGCAGCCGGAACATCTCGGAGAGGCCCTCGGCCAGGGAGTAGGTACACTCGATGATGTACACGCTGTCGTTGCAAGAGCTGGCGGCCAGGCCGGCCAGCCAGGGTAACTGTGCAGAGGTGACGGGCGCCACGGCGCTGGGCGCGGGCGGGAAGGGCTGTGGTGGCGCCTGCTGGTACTGCCGGATCTCGGTCAGATGCGACTCGCGCCACGAGCGCAGGAAGATCTGCTCCAGGTCCTCCATCAGCGGCACCTGGTCAGCCGCTGGCAACGACAGGGTCAGACGGGGGTGGGGGTCAGAACACCCCTGATGGGGCTTTTTCTAGGGGGGGAGATTGGGTCACACCCGGCGGTGCTCAGGGCTTCCTCCTGGCTCTGTGCTCAGGGATCACTCCCGGCAGGGCTCGAGGGACTATATGGGGTGCCCGGGATCAAACCCAGCTCGACCGTTTCCAAGCCAAGTGTGGTCCTTGCTGTAGTATCCCTCCAGCCCTCATGGGCGGCTTTTAAACGGCTGCAGCTGGGGTGGCCACAGAGCCTCAGAGCCCAGGTTCTGCTCGTTGCCAAGCACCTGCTCATGTTCCCATGCAGTTTATGAGCTTCAGAAATAGCAGTGCCACATGATCATCAACCTGAGGCACTCGTTTACTTAGCAGAGCCTTTTCCTGCTTTATAAATATTTTTGCAGTATAACTTGCTGAATCTAAATGCTCCCTAAGGGGGCTTACTGAGCCAGCTTCTAGACACCTCCAGGCCTGAATCCACAGGGTCATCTCTCCACGGCTGTCACAGCTCAGCAGCCCACACCCATGGGCCTCCCTCTGCGGGACATCAGTGTTATTCAGGGACAATGGGAACTGTTTGCAGTGTGTGCCTGTCTGACCTCCCTGGCGACCAGTGAGGGTCACTTTCTGGGTATGTCCAGGCTCTAATGTCCACATGTCACACTTGAGTGAGCAGAGGAAACAAACAGCCCCAGGCATCCCTAGCTCTGTCCTGCCCACCAGCAGAGCCCCTAAAGGAGCTGCCATCTCTAGGAAGACACTGGGGTCTCCTGACCTCAAAGTGGGGTAACACCCACTCCCCCACTCGCCCTGCTATGCCCAAATTTGATGAGAACAGCGCTTCCACCTGCCAATTCTGCAAACTTTCTCTGCAGCCTACATTTCCCATGCTACCTCTCCACCCCACCCCGTCTCCACCCCCTTCCCCGCCTTGCCATTCTTCTTTCTTCCCTCCATTCTCCCAACTACTCCCATATGACGTTGTCCTACACTTCGCATTCACCCAACGGCTTTTCGATGCCCAGAGTCCCGTCTCGTTGGTCCGTCTTACACCATCCTCAACACATGGGCTCTGCCGAGTCCCTCTCCCTGAAACACCATCTCACCGGTCTCCACATCACCGTTTTCTCCACCCCACTAATGTACCCCAAGTGTCTGCTCTCTACGAGTGCTGGGTGAACGGCAATGAAAATGACCAGTCTGACGCACGAGCTGATGTCCAGACTGGGAGGAGGCACTTAAAGGACTCAGCACACAATGTCACTTTGGGTAGCAACAAAAGGCTCTAAAGGAAACTATTCAAACTCTATTCCAGAAGCCAGAGTGATAGCATAGTGGGTAGGGCGTTTGCCTTGCACATGGCCAATCCAGATTCAATCCCCAGCATCCCAGGAGTAATTCCTGCCTGCAGAGCCAGGAATTAGCCCTGAGCACTGTTAGGAGTAGTCCCCAAACAAACAATTAAAAAAAAAACCTCTTTCTATTCCAGAGTTGATGAAAGAGACACGGGGCCCTCCCCAGAGTGTTGTTCAAATCACAGTCTGGCCTTTCTGAAGAGGTGATGGGAACAGAAAGAAACATAAGGGAACTAAGTCCTGCAATTGTCCTGGGAAGGATCATCTCTTAGGGGAGGAAGTGACAGCTCAGGGTTCACTGATGTGCAGAGCTCCGGGGTCAGTGGGCAGAAAAGAGGAGAAAGAAGCTCCCTGGAGTCCCTGGAAGCTCCCTTCCCAGCAGAGGGGCAACTCTGGAGGCCTGAGCAGAAGAAGAGATAGGAATTTTAACCTCTGTAGAAAACAGTAACGTCTCCATTGGAGATTTTGTTGTTACTGTGTTTGGCATATCGAATACATCACGGGTGGCTTGCCAGGCTCTGCCGTGTGGGCGAGATACTCTCGGTAGCTTGTCGGGCTCTCTGAGAGGGGCGGAGGAATCGAACTCGGGTCAGCCATGTTGGCTGCGTGTAAGGTAAAAGCCCTACCGCTGTGCTAGGGGCTTGAGTGATGCCCTGGGCAAGGAAGGCAGGGCTGAGAGGGGCGCTAGCATATGTGATGAAGCCGGGCTTAGCCACGGAGCAGATGTGGATTCCTAGACAGCGAGAGGCAGTTTCCAGGACCTATGATTCGGGCACAGCCTCTCTCGGCAGCTCCCCACTCCCCTCTCCCCCACCCGCCCTCCAGCTCTCTCCTCTGTCTCATCTCTGGCTGTTGTGTGAAGATGTGGTCCTTCTTGGGTACCTGTGTGCCAGGGATGAGCCAGGCCATCCCAGCGGTGCTCAGGGGCCTCCAGGCTGCACCCAGCAACACTCCTGGCCCATGTGATGCTAAAACTCAGTCCCAACATGTAAGGCAAATCCTTAGCCCTTGTCCTACCTCTCCAACTCTACTGCGTCTCTGAATGTTGGAGAATCCCTGTGCTCAGTTCCTCTCCCCGTCTCACTGCTTTGGGATAGAACTTCCCTGAGCCGGTGCTTCCCAAAGGTAGGCCCATACACACAACCCCTCCCCCAATCCCGACGCTCAAGTTCTGCCTATCCAATTCCTGGAGGACAACTCAAATGGAAGCTGTGGGGACAGAACTTATTCCAGTCACTTATTCCTGATCACTCAGTGGCCAAGCCAGGCCCTGTGGAACACACCCACACCTCTCCCCTGGAAATCCCTACACCCCCTTCCTGGAAATGTTTCCTCCTCTCCTTCCTGGGAATACACCCTATATCTCTTTTCTTCAGAGCCCATGTGGGCCTCCCTCCTTCACTGGGACAGTGTCCACCAATTTTTTTTTTTTTTTTTTTGCTTTTTTGGATCACACCCAGCGATGCTCATGGGTTACTCCTGACTCTGCACTCAGAAACTACTCCTGGCGGTGCTTGGGGAACCATATGGGATGCTGGGAATCGAACCCAGGTCGGCCGCGTGCAAGGCAAACACCCTACCCGCTGTACTATTGCTCTAGCCCCCAGTGTCCACCTATTGCCCTGTATAGGGCAGCCAAAGTACCTCCTGGAAACAAAGATCCACCCAACGGTACCAACCATGGTATGATGGCCGGAAGTGTCTGCCAGACTCATATGTTGAAGCCCTACTTCCCGATGTGACTCCTTGGAGGCAGGGCCAGGGAGACTACAGGGCTTTGAGCACCACAGACTTCCAAGCACTGCCAGCTACAACCCTGGAGCCCCCCAAGCCCCCACCCCCCAAAACCCCCAGGGCCTGGGCAGCTCTAAATCCTTGATCGGTAACAAAAAGCGAACACCCAGTTGGCTAAGTATTGCCAAGAGGGGCTCCTGAGCCCTTTGAGGACTATTTGGTGATGCCCCAAGTAAACAGCTAAAGAGGTCATTCTATCACTGCCAAGTGAGGTCATGAGAAGCAGGCTGCAGAGTGCCCCTGCAGGCACAACCGTCCCAGAAAGCCAGAAAGGCCCATCCATGAGCAACACTGAGGAGGGCCCCATCCACAAGCAAGGGAGAAGAAGAGCCTCCATGAGCCCCAACCATCTTGGCCTCCTGGACATCAGCCTCCAGATGCAGCCAAGGCCACGGCACCTGCTCTGGGCCTTCCAGACACTTCCAGCCATCGTACCATGGTTGGTCCCGTTGGGTGGATCTAGGCTGCCCCACGCGACAGAAACACAAGCAGATTTCAGCGCGGTTCAACTCCCGCCTGCAGCCTCACACTGCAGCTTCCCCGGGTCCCTGAAGGACGGTGACTCTGCACCCACCCCTCCGCCCCTTCCATCACCTCCAGACACCCTGGCATCTTTCCAAGGCGCTCTATCTCCCAGAACCAGAGGCCTTTCTTCACAGCCTCGTGCCCAGTGTGCTGCCCACGTGCCTCTGGTTTTTCCCTCCCTCTAGAACAGTCTCTCGGAGGCAGTGGGCTTCTTCCCTGCGGCCGCTCTGTCCCTGGGATGATTGGGAAGCGAGCACCGCGGGGGCCCGGGGTAGCAGCAGGAGGAGGAGGCCCTAGAGACTTACCCAGCTGCACCAGGTAGTAGACGGTGAGCAGCAGCTGCATCTCCTCCGAGATGGGCTGGATGGTGGAGGCGCCGTACGGCTCGTAGGCCCGGGAGATGGACTGTGAGTTCTGGTAGCACGTGTAGAGGAGGGGACTCACCACCACATCGTTGAGGTTCCCGCAGAGGTAAGGGAAGTTCCCGTGGCCTAGAGAAGAGAGATGCTCAACCACTTGGCCACAAGCCTGGGTGCCACATGAGAGTCTCATCATGAGTCTCCCTGAGTGTAAGACAGTGAAAACGGCTCCAGGGAGAGGCCAGCATTGCTGGGAGGGGGAAACTGAGGGCTTCCTGCTGTGCTGAGTGAGCACGGTGGGTCTGGGCAGAGCAGAGCCAGACCGCGGGGATGATGGGACTGAAAACTTCAGTTCCAGCTGGCCTGCGGCTGCAGGGGGCAGCCCGGGAATGATTCTTTCATTCCATGGTTTAGGGGCTGGTCTGGCTTCTCTGCGGTGTCTGGAGGGCTGTGTGGGGCTGGGCATCCACCGGGTTGGCACATGTGAACGCTTTCATCCCTGTACCAGCTCTCTTGCCCAGAAGTGCCCTTTTTTTAATTGATTTAATTTTTTGGTTCTGCGGCCCTACCCAGTGGTTCTCAGGGCTTACTCCTGGCTCTAAGCTCAGGGATCATTCCTGGTGAGCTCGGGGACCATTGTGGGATGCCTGGGTCTGCCATGTACGTGCAAGGCAAATGCCCCACTTGCTTGCTGACCTATCACTCTGGCATCAAGAAGTACCCTTTTTAAGTCGTCATGACAGGAAGCTACCGTTCCCACCTCCCACTGCTCTCTCCTACCCAAGCACGATACTGTACAGACTATGCAGGCATCTAGGAAGGACCCAGATCTGTGTGTGCCCACATGACACCACACACTTGAAACAGAACTGATGAATTTCATCATGAGACATGTGTGGCCGATCTCTCTGAGGAGACAGTTTAGGGCACACCTAGCAGTACTGAGGGCTGGCTCCGGGCTCTGAGCTTAGAGATCACTCTTGGTAGGCTTGGAAGACCGTACCTGGTTTGGGAATCATTCCAGGGTTGGTCAAATTCAAGACAAGCACCATCCCTGCTGTACTATCTCTCCCACTCTTTTCTCTCTTTTTAAAACACAGGCCACCTGGCAGGGTTGGGCCCCAAACAGTGGCTCTCACACATGCTGTGCACGTGCTCATCACTTGACCTATCTCCCCAGCCCTAGAAAGAGATCTCTTAGGTCAAATCAAACAGTTGCCTCCACAGAGCCTGTAATTAGCTGGCAGAGGCAAATCAGAGACCAGGTTTACTTCCGTTTAACATTTCTACATGGTGAGTACCGTTCAGCTTGCTGGGCCCAACCCAGGTTAAAATTTCATAACTAAAAATACTAATAGGGGACCCAGAGTGATAGTATAGCAGGTAGGGTGTTTGCCCTGCACGCGGCGAACCTGGGTTCGATCCCCGGCATCCCATTTGGTCCCCCAAGCACCAGCAGGAGTAATTCCTGAGTGCAGAGCCAGGAGTAACCCCTGAGCATTGCTGGGTGTGACCCAAAAAAGCAAAAAAAAATACTAATAGGGAGGGCTGGAGAAGCTGGAGAGAGAGAGTTCAGTGGGTAGGGCACTTGCCTTGATGTGGTCAACCCGAGTTCTATCCCCAGCATCCCAGTTGGACCCCTGAGCAGTGCCAGGAGTAATCCCTGAGTAAAGGAGTAACCCCTGAGTATCACTGTGTGAGTGGCCCAACTCCAGGCCTACCACAATAAAAACAGGCAGTGCCCGAGAGAGGAGAGTACAGTGGGTAGGGCGCTTGCCTGGCATGTGGCTGTGCCAACTTTAATCCCCATCACTACATAATATCCCTTGAACACCAGCAGGAGTGAACCCAGAGAGCAGACTCAAGAATAAGCCCTGAACACCATGGGGTGAGCCCACTTCCCCAAAATGAAAACATTCGAGAAAGGTCCTAGCAAGAGCTCAGGGGGCTGGATCTCCTCCACAGACTTTCCATGGAGGAGGCCCAAGGTCAACTGCGGGCACCAATTGGTCCCCCAAGCACCACGGAGTGTGGCCCCAATACTAATTGTAATGGAAGCAGCCTGGAGCAAAGAGATGACAGGACACCCCCAGCCATGACTCCTGGAAACTGAGGCGCATTCACCTCCTGATCCCAAGGGTCAAGATCTGGACTGTTACAGCAGCAGGAGCTCAGCAAGGTGGCGTGAAGGGATGAATGAAAGAACAGAAGCCAACGAGGTCCTGGAAGGAAGTGTTTCCACTTGGACAAGTTGTGGGAAACTGAGGCAGGCCCTACAACTCTAGGGGAGCTCTGGGGACCGAACCCGGGAAGTCGTCTCCAAGCAATGCTACTTGCCTTTGAAGATCACTGGCTTGGCCTTGCAGATTTTCAGCAAGTTGTCAGGGACGGACACTGGTTCGCCAGAGGCCACCACCGGGAAGCTGACAGAGGCTGGTCCCGCCAAGCCGACCTGGGGCACGCAGGACACGCCTGTGCTCTCTAGGGGGGGAGCATGCCAGGAGTTAGGAGAGCATCAAACCAGGCCTCCGTCTCAGTTGACCCGAGCTCAGGAGGGCCTGCCAAGCCGCAAGGTCCCTGCCCCTTTATGAAACACCCGCACCCCGGAAGCCACAGTCCCTGAAGCCACAGCAGTTTAAGGACTTTCAGCCCACACTTCCCTGCCAACAATCCCACTGCCATCTCTTCAATAGTCCAACCCTGGCACGAAACAGGAGAAAGATTATTTTATTCTGACAACATCGGCTCTCTAGAACTTCCTTATTGATGCCTCATAAAAGCACACATACACACAACATATCCTCTCTCTCTCTCTCTCTCTCTCTCTCTCTTTCTCACACACACACACACACACACACACACACACACACACACACACACCACCATCACCACCACTAACCCATAGCAAGATGATTTTGGGCAAAGCTGTTGTCACTTACCATACTTGGCTCTGTTGCCCCCGCCTTGGGGATAACTACCATCTGGAGCTGATGGAGATTCTGGAGACCACCCTTTGTGGCGTTTTTTAGGGGGGCCGGAGGTGGGGGAGATCCCTAGATGACACGCAGATACGAATTAGGATGTCATCAGGGAACAAGAATCCCAAACACTTGGCCCCGGTTTGCAGGACATTGAATTGGGGAAAGCACAAAGATCATAGGTTTGCACTGCGTTTGGGCATCTGGTGACGTATCAGGCATAAAGACATATCCTGCTGTGTTAGTGAATGCTTCGTTCCAAAGGCATGCAGCCCTCTTAGGGCCTTCCTCTTCACAGTGAGCTCATAAAACCTCCAGTGAAAGGAGACCAAATCGGGACTTGAAAGTATATTTATATAGAAAGCACTGGTGCAGTGCCTAGGACAGAGCCTGGCAGCTACCAGGCCCACATTACCCCACCACCACCACCACCAACAACAATCTGTGAGCTACACACTCCAGTACAGGTCAGGAGGAGAGAGTCTGTATCCCAATACTCACGGCACCCTCGGACCACCACTACATCTCACCGCTTGGGGGCAGTATGGATCCACCCTGCGCCTCTCCCCAGCAGAGCTTGCAAACGCTCACTTCACACTAAAAAGGACCCGGGGGAACAGCAGCCGGTGCCCACTGCTGCTCACAAATCATTCCGGCCCACTCAAGAGAACACTGAACCCGACTAGCCTCGTGAGTGATTCACTAGAACTGGCTAGTGAATTTGATTGATCAATCTGACTCAAGTGCCTCCTGCATTGCAAGGGACACGTTCAAACCTGGCAGCCCATCCAACACTTTTGGGAAACGGTCAAAACGCTCTGTGCCTGGATGTACCCTCGCCTCACGGAAACACAGAACCAGAGCGGTAATACAGCAGGTAGTCGCTTGCCTCGACTTGCCATGTGGTCCCCTGAGCACCACCAGGAGGTAATTCCTGAGTGCAGACCCAGGGAAAAAAAAAACCCTGAGCATCACAGGGTATGGAAAAAAAAAACCAAACCCATAATCCCAGTATCTGGATGAAACTCGGGAATTCTGAGGACCCTTGAGCTCTCTGGGGAGTCTAAAGCACAACCAGGGCTGGGAGCCAACTGTTGAGAACATTTCCTTGGGTTGAGAAGGAGCCAGAGTGAACCAGCCAAGGGCTGGTTAAAACTGTCCGATCCCCGCTGGAAACACATCTCTAGGGAAGGAGTAAAGAAGGCGCTGGTGTGCGGAGCCCAGGATGCTTCTACCCGAGCGGGAGGCGCTTTGAGAGTTACTGCATCAGAACTCCTGGAAAGGAATCCAGCACTGCCTGCCTCTTCCTAGGATGGCTTGAAAATGACAATTAAGACAAGGAAAGACTTCCTTCCCAAACAGCTTTCCAGTGACACTGCTCCACCCCCCGACCCCCGCAGCTCGCAGAGGACAGCTGTCCTCTCCATGCTGACCACATCCTGGGGCCCCGCAGTGCCCATGGCAGCACCATGCCAAGACTCAGAGGCCAGCACCTCTAAAATCCACATTGCACAATCACTACTAACCCTGTCCCTAAGGCGGGCACTAAGCTCCCCCGAGGATGTCACTGGAAGCTGTCCCTGTGGGCCACTGTCTGGCCTCTGGGGTAAGACCATTCTTTACCCCGAGTGGGTCATGACAGGAAGTGATGAGTCCCTGCATGGAACAGCCCACAAGATCCCAGGCACTACCACAGAGGCAGGTGGGGTGGAAAGAGGTGGGGGTGGCGGGAGGGATACTGGGATCATTGGTGGTGGAAAATGGGCACTGGTGGAGGGATGGGTACTCAATCATTATATGATTGAAACATAAGTACAAAACTCTGGAAGTCTGTAACTGTACCTCATGGTGATTCATTAAAAAAAAAATGTAAATAAAATAATATGATCTCCCCCGCCAACCCCCCCCCAAACAAACAAAAAAAGATCCCAGGCGCTTCTCAGCCTCCCCAGCAGGGGGCATCTTGTCTCCAGTGAGCCCCCAAGTGCTCCTGCCTGTGGCAGGGAAGTGCATGCTTACAGCTGGTCCCAGCACAGAGCAGAGCAGCTGGGCGTGGGCCGGCCCAGAGACTTCAACAGTGGGCAGAAAGGACAGCGCTGTTGGGTGCTGGGGCCCAGGGCCAGTGGCAGGGGTCAGGCTCTCGGGAACTGGCCGTTGAGCATCCACACACGTGGCCTTGGACACGCCTCAGGCGTCTGGGGACACAGCTCAGACCTGGGGTGTGAGCAACAGCGGGACCTGGGCAGGAGGCGCTGAACTCTTGAGCTCAGGAGCAGAAAAAGAGGTCAGGGAAAGGCTCCAGAAAAATCTGAGCACGCCTTGTTCTCTGTTCCCTCCAGGGAACGTACATCCATTCACCGCAGGGGGGAACTTCAGACACTGGTCACTCCCGCTGTTCCAGGTGACGAAGGCCACCGTGTACAGGTCTCAGCACTGGGAAAAATCCACTGCCTCTCTCCTCTCACCCAGTCCTCACCACCCCACCCCACCTCGTCCTGTAGGGACTCAAACAAATACTCCCACGTTGCAGTCCCATCATCACCTCCTCCAGGAAGCCCTGACAGACCACCTCAGGGACAATGCAGAAGGCAATAAGGTGCCCCAGCACGAGCAGCCAGATGTGCTCTGACTTGTCAAGTTCCCTGACTAGAGCGAGACAGTCCTGGGGTGGGAATTCCTTTCCACCAGGTCCTGAAGCTCAGGCTCCTTCTGGGACATACTGCCCCCCTCCTCTACAACTCTGTCCATCTATCTCTCCACATGTGTGACCCCAGAAAGGCTCAGGCATGTCCATTGCTTCCGTCACCCACCCGTCGTTACCCAGCAGCCAAAGCTGTGACCCAACCCAGCACCAGAGCCCGGCGCAGAGCTGGGGGTCCGGGGAGGGGCCATGCACCTAAGGCGGGGGGCCGCGGCAGGGCCGACAGGCTGGTCTTCACCAGCTGCTGCTGCTGCTGCTTTGGGGAGTCTCTGCCGTTGAAAACAGCTGGGCCCACGGCGGCTGCCAGGGATGAGTGGTCGGAGGCCGGGCCTGGAAACAGACAGAGAGGAAGGAGAGTTGGGACCCCTGGACGGTGGGAACACATGCACTTGTGTGCACACACTCACACAGACACACACATAAGTATACTCACAGGCACACATGTACACATGCGCACACACAAAGAAGCACTCACATGCACGTGTGCACACGCACTCACACAGAAGCACGCTCATATGTATACAGGCACACCGCACAAACACACAGCACACTTGTGCACGATGCACCCATACACGCACACGCATACTCACACACACAGAAGCACACTCACTTGCACATATGCACACACGCACACACAGAAGCACATTCACATGCATGCACATGCATGCACACACTTATACAGATATACACAGAAGCACACACAAGCACCTGTGTGCACACGCACTCACACACATAGATATACAGAACCACGATCACATGCACTTGCATGCACATGCACACTCAGGCAGACACATTCACACGCACTTGGGTGCACGTCCACTCACACACTATGCATTCACACATGTGCACTCAGACAATGTGCACACACGTGCACATACACGCATACACATGCACTCACAGTGCACTCACATACACGCACATGAGACGCACACGTGCACACACGTGTACTCACAACTCACACATGTGCAGATATGCATACACATGTACTCACCGTACACACAGACATGCATACACGTGTACTCACACCTGACACACATGTGCACTCACGAATGTGCGCACACACACAGACACACAGGCACTTGCACATGTGCACACGCACAGATACACATGCACATGCACTCACACATATACACACAGGCACTCATTCATGTACCCATTCACACACACACATCTACCCACGTATGTATTCATGCACTCACACATGCATTCATGAACTTACGCAGGCACGCATACACATGCATGCGCACATACTCAGTGAGAAAGGAAAGAGAATGAGGCTGCAACAAGCGGTGTCTTCTCTTCCACTCTCACAAGCTAGCAGCGAGCTTTCCACTGACGAGCCCACCAGAAGGCACCACTCCCTGTGCATTGATTCTACCTGCAGAGAACACTCTCTCACTCTCTCTCTCTCTCTCTCTCTCTCTCTCTCTCACCCTCTTCCACCTTCCCACACCTCCAGACTGCAGGCTCATCTCAGACATGCTCAGAAAAGTCCCTGGGCTGGCCTCCCGCAGCCGCGCTGCCATCATGAATGACATGGTCACCATCCACACCAGGAAGTTCATGACCAACTGACTGCTCCAGCACAAGCAGATGGTCATCGGTGTCCTTCACCCTGGGAAGGCCACGGTACCCAAGACAGAAATCTGAGAGAAACTTGCCAAAATGTACAAGACCACGCCAGATGTCATTTTCGTGTTTGGCCTCAGAACCCATTTTGGTGGCAGCAAGACAACCGGCTTTGGCATGATTTACGATTCTTTGGATCACGCCAAGAAAGACGAGCCCAAACACAGACTGGCAAGACATGGTCTGTATGAGAAGAAAAAGACCTCATGCAAACAGAGAAAGGAACGCAAGAACGGAATGAAGAAAGTCAGGGGGATCGCCAAGGCCAACCAACGTTGGCGCCGGCAAAAAGTTTGAGAGCTGGAGATTGAACAACAGAAGAGTAAAGATTCTGCAGAGACTATCTGGTGATTGTGCAGATTTTTTTCACGAAGATTAATACATTTTAATTAAAACAATAAAAAAAAATCCTTGGGGGGGGGCGGTGCAGTCACCCAGGTCAGGCTGCCAGCAGCCACGGAACCTCTGAACATCTCTAAGCACTGTGGGTTCGGTCGCCTGTGGCCCACCACCTGCTGCCATGCCCCCGCTGCCAGGAGCCTGGAAGATGTGCCCGTGGAAGGCACTCCAGAGCAGGGACCAGGACAAACACTTCCGGTGGGGGGAGGTGGGCGGACGAGTGACCGAGCCCAGCTCTAGCTTCCAACCTTGCTGGACGCCCTCCACTTTCCTCTGCGGCAGGTCCTCCTCCGTTCAAGCAGATACACAGGGTCGGGATGACCTGAACTACTAGAAAGACGTCAAGTGTCGGAGCCCGGAGGGCCGAAAGCACTTACTGGTCACTAGCACTGTGATTGTACTGAGTCCTACAAATCAGGCTGGGAGGACTTGTTCCAGCTTCACACATGAGCAAACAGGAAAGAGTCCAAACACATCTCCCCAGATGGCTCAGCTCAGAGGTGGCCACGCTGGAGCTGACAGCCGGGACTGCTGGGGGCCATTGCAGGGCTTTCTCGAGGGTGGGAGAAAGGCGCCCTCTCATCTGTGGATGGCGCCTGCTCCCAGGGGCAAAGTGCCCGGACACATGAGCCAGAACACCAGGCAGGCCATCGCGCCAGGACTCCCCAGGACCCGGCTGGAAGCACAAGGTCGGGAGTCTCAGTTTCCCACCCAGGGAGACGGGTGTAATAAAGTACAGGCTGATCACAGGCAGGGGGTGGGACTTGTAAGACACTGTCGTGGCACTCTATGTGCCAACCTGCCCCGTGCGGGCACTGGCTGAGCACCTGTCCCAGCCCCATGCTGCAGATCAGGGGCCAGGGGCTGCGGAGGGATCCCGACACCTTCCACACCCATCAGGGGCACATCAAAAGCAGGACACTCTGGGGATGGAGGGGAGCAGGGCTCAGAGGTGAGACTTTGCATGTGCAAGATTGCAAGTATGAGCCCCCAGAATCCCAGCACTGAGGGGGAAGGGGGAGCAAACACCACCTTATATCCAGGGTCTGAGCATTGGACTGTCAGGCCAGCTTGGCTGAGTGTTGCCAGGAACGGCCCCTGGTCCCTTGTGAGCACTGCATGAGAGCACTCCCCAAATACCCTCAGAAAACACAGAGCTCAAATGAAGTGCCCCTAACAGGAGACTCAGGGCAGTGTGGCATCCGCACGGATGTCCAGGGAGAGCCACCATATTACTGAGCTCTAGGTGAGATGAGACTGAGCCCCTTGGAGCTCTGCGGCCCCCTTACCTGCCGGCTGTGCTCCCATGGGGACGCCGGGGTTCAGTCCAGCCGGGGCTTCGTTGGAGAAGGCAGCTAGAGGCCCTGGGCTCTCCAGCGGCAGGAAGAGATTGCTGGGGCACACGCTGCTGGAGGCCTGCCGGGTTCTGAACTCTGGGGAAGACACAGAGGGAAAGTGCTGCAGGGCCCAGAAGGCAAGCACAGTCCCCGCGCCTGGGGTCTAACCCCCAGGAGCAGAGCGATGCAGATAAGCGTGACCAACAGCCACGCGGCAGAGATGTGTCCGCTGCACTGCGCTGAGCTGAGCTGGACCTGACATCTACTGTGGAGCTGACACTGTGCACATGCATACATGTGCATGCATACACGTACACACATGCACACGCATGCACACACACACGTATAGACACACCCCTGTAAGGCTGACCTATCACCGGAGCCTTTCCAATATTATACACACAGACACACACACACATACACACATACGCACACATTAAGCCTTTTAGGCATGCGTGCATGTATATATAGACACACACACACCCCCCACCCTCTGTTGGGCTGAACTCATCTGAGCCTTCTCAGCACCCCCTCCCCCCCACACACACATATGCACATGCACACACACACACCCCTGTAAGGCTGACCTATCACTGGAGCCTTTCCAATATGAGACACACACAGACACACACACTCACACTCACTCACCCACCCCCCCCACACACATACTGCTGAGCCTGGTGAGCATCTGTGCATGAGTATACACACACACACACACACACACACACACACCCTCTGTTGGGCTGAGCTCATCTGAGTCTTCTCAGGATCACACACACACACACACACACCCACACACACCCACACACACACCCTTCTGTCAGGCTGAGCTCACCTGAGCCTTTCCAGCATATGAGAGGGCCCTGGGTAAGAGTCCCCTGCGCATTGCGGACCAGGTAATACTTCAGGTGCTTCTGCTTCTTGGGTTGGGTGGTGAGCTTCAGATTGATGTGGTTAGAGAACTCAGTGAAATAGCAGAAACCCTTTTTCCCACAGCCGACACAGTTCCCAGAGAAACCTGGAAGAGGAGACAACAAGTTTATCCGGAGTCCTCCTCGGTTACTCCCAAGCTCAGATCCTGGAACCCAACGAGAAGGTTCCACGGGGCAAGGGTTCTGGTCAAGGGGTCAAGACAGCCACAAGGAGGGCCAGGAAGGTCTCATCGTAAGAATGAAACTAGCATGGCTTAGGGGAAGATTTTATTTTATTTTATTTTATTGTATTTTATTTTGGCTTTTTTGGGTCACACCTGATGCTCAGGGGTTACTTCTGCCTCTGCACTCAGGAATTACTCCTGGCCATGCACAGGGAACCATATGGATGCCAGGGACTGAACCCGGGTCGGCCGTGTGCAAGGCAAACACCCTACCTGCTGTGCTACTGCTCCGGCCCTAGGAGAAGATTTTAAAAGCTATATTCAGAGGGGCCAAGGAAATAGATGAAGGCTCAGAGCACACGTTTGGCAAGCAAGAGGCCAGGGTTTCATTTCCGAGCACTGCTTGGTCCCCTAAGCACCACCAGGAGTGACCCTCAAGCACAGATAGAGCCGGAAGTACCCCTGAGCATCGCCAAGTGTGGTAAAGCAATAAACAAACAGATCCCTAAAGGCTCTACATAAAACAGACTTTACAGAGCAAGGTGGGCTCCTCTGTCTCCGCGGCACAGACACGTACAGTAACTGCCTATCCCTCTTTCCATTCTCTGCCCAGTTCCAGAATCGCAAAGCAATCAGACCACTGATGCCAGACCCCCTGGAGCCCGCCCTAAACTCCAGACTTTGAGCCTGAATCCAAGTAAATGGATCCCATGTGTGGCTGATTAGAAGTGAAGAAAATCCCATCATCTGTGGCCAGGACAGACACCAATAAGGCATGTGAGTTCCCGTGGGAGCTGCTGCCTGAGGCCAAAATGGGCCTCTCTGGGAGTGGACACTGGCTCCTGAGCTGTGAGGCTCCGGGCAGGCCGCCTAAGTAGCAGCAGCAGCACAAACCACCGCCTGTGACCCATAAACTACCAAAATCCAGAGGACGTGTTTGAAAAGCCCTGGCCAAGCTATTAAGGCTATTTCAACTCGACGCCCTGCAACTGCTGATTAAAGGTCAGATGGTTTGGCTCTTTTATCTGACATGGATTCTTGTTGCAACGCCCTGCCCCGCCATCGGAACTTGTTTTTCTCCCAGTGTGTCTGGTTGCCAGGGAGCAAGGCCCCTGGGAGGGGGGCGACCCTGAGTCCGAGACTACTTTAATTTATCTGATTTCGGGTTTGGGGCTGCCAAGTTTACAGAGGTCGTTCTGACTTATGCTGCAAGGCCATGCAGCTCCGTGTGTAAGCTCTGCTGCTACCCAGAATCTTCCTAAGACAACTGGCTAGCACGAGGGGGGGGGGGGGAGAGAGAGACAGAGACAGAGAGACAGAGAAAGAGACAGAGAGACAGAGAAAGAGACAGAAGCAGAGAGACAGAGGAAAAGAAAGAAAAGGAAAGTAAAAGAAAAGAAAAGGAAGCTCAGATAGAGAAGGAAGCACCAAATAAAGGGTGTTGGGAGGACCCTCCCAGGATGGGAGAAGCATGCTGAAAGTAGACTATAGACCGAACATGATTGCCACTCAATGCCTCTCTTGCAAACCACAGGACCCAAAAGGAGAGAGAGAACAAAAGGGAATGCCCTGCCACAGAGGCAGGGTGGGATGGGGGGACGGCGGGTGAGAGGGATGCTAGGACCCGTGGTGGTGGAGGATGGGTGCTGGTGGAGGGATGGGTACTTGATCATTGTATAACTGAAACCCAAGCACAAAAATTTGTAAGTCTATAATTGTACCTCATGGTGTTTCACTAATAAAAAAATAAATAAAAAATTTTAAATAAAAAGAAAAGAAAAGGAAAGGAAAGGAAAGGAAAGGAAAGGAAAGGAAAAACCATCAGTGAAGGCTCAAACCCTCTCCAAGGAGAAAATAGACACTGCGCCACAGAGAGCTACTAATTCACGGGTCTTCTGCAAACAAATCTAATGTTCTTCAGTGGCCTAAGAAACGCCCTGTCTAGACACAGGGCAGGTACGGCTTAGTTTAGCCTTTCAGAACCCTTCTCTCTACAGCAGAGAAATGTCAGAGTCTGAATCCCAGCGTTTAGAGGGACAAATGGGAACCACGCCAAGAGACAGGGAACAACATCCTGCCACTTACCATTAGCCTGATGGGCCACTACTTAGATTAAGAGGCACTAACAGGGGGCTGCAGAGATAGTATCGTGGGTTGGGCACTTGTCTTGCACGCAATTGACCCGGGTTCGATCCCCCAACACCTCACAGGGTCCCCTGAGCCCATCAGGAGTGATCCCCGGGCACAGAGCCAGGTGAGTTCTGAGCATCACTGGGTGTGCCCCTCTGCTCTCCAAGAAAGAAAGAAGCACAACAGCCCCAGTGAATCAGGGCAGCCTGACCCTCTTTGGAGAAGCCCAAGAGCCCAAGAAACCACGTAATGGTCCCAAGTGGATAAGGAAGTGATGCATCAATTCCAGCCTGAGAACCAAGCCCGGCCCCGTGTCACGCACACAGCATCATCCACATTCTTTTTTTTTTTTTTAATTCTTATTAGTGAGACACCATGAGGTACAGTTGTAGACTTAAAAATTTTTGTGCTTGGGTTTCAGTCATACAATGATCGAGTACCCATCCCTCCACCAGTGCCCATTTCCCACCACCATGGATCCCAGTATCCCTCCCACCCCCACCCCCCCATCCTACCCTGCCTCTGTGGCAGGGCATTCCCCTCTGTTCTCTCTTTCCTATTGGGTGTTGTGGTTTGCAAAAGAGGCATTGAGTGGCAATCATGTTTGGTCTATAGTCTACTTTCAGCATGCTTCTCCCATCCTGGGAGGATCCTCCCAACACCCTTTATTTGGTGCTCCCTTCTCTATCTGAGCTCCCTTTCCCCCTAGCATGTGTGGCTGGCCTCCATGCCATGGAGCAAAATTCCCAGTACTAATCTCAGCCCGTTCTTGGGTGTTAGTCTCCTATTTTTGTTACTTTATGTTCCCCAGATGAATGCAATCTTTCTATGTCTATCCCTCTCTTTCTGAGTCATTTCGCTTAACATGATACTTTCCATGTAGTACCACTTGTATGTAAATTTCATGACTTGTCTTTTCTAACAGCTACATAGTACACATTCTTACTAAAGCCTCAGGAAGTCTCGGTGGACAACTGCTGGTGGTACCCCCCTGACTGGTGCAGGAGTGGAGGGGGGTGAAAGGGACAGAGGGCTGGGAAGGGCGCGGGTCCATGGGGTCTCTCCTCCTCTCCTGTAGACAAGCAGAGCAGTGTGGGGGGTTGGCGGAAGAGAGTGTAAGGGAAGGGGCAGAGTCTGACCCCTCCCAGCGTGCAAGACCAGGGGAGCAGCTCAGTCTCCCAGCGACAAAGGGGCAAGGCAAGACCCGGTGGGTCTGTGTTTCCAGAAACGGACACCTGCGTCTTCCCAGAAGCAGCCAGCACCTGGGGAAGGGTCGGACCTTCTCGAAGCACCAGGCCAGTGGCCACCAGAGCAAAAGTGGAGTTAGGGCTGGGTCCGGCTCTCCCAGAAGGAGGCCCACTCCCACCCAGCCCAGATTTAGCGAGGCATGATCGCCAAGACCACTCGCTCGCTGGATGAAACGAAGGCACTTCCCTGCCAGAACCTCGGCCTGGAAGGTTCCAGCTAGATGCTTCTCTCATGTCTGAGCTCTCAGCCTGTGAAGAAGAACCAGCCCCTCGACAAGAAACACACCTAGAATAGGACCTTGGAGCTTTCCCTGACGAAACCCCTCCACAAATTCAAAGTCACTAGATTGAAAGTCCCTTCTTCATAAGTGAGGGGGACCACCAGAGAGGGGGAGGTTAAAGCTGTCCCTCGCCTCAAGATATTCCACAGCTGCCATTTTATAGGTCACTAAAAAGCCCCGGGTCCCAACCTCTGCCAGGGCCCGGGGCCCACCTTGTCCTGCGCAGCCCTTGGGGTTAATTGCAGGAAACTGAGCCAGTGTGAAGTGTACAAGCTGAGAGCATAAAGTTATTTTAAAAGAAGAAGAAAGCATCCGTGATTTCCAACTGGCCCTTGTTAACCCCCTTCCAATGGCTTTTTGGCGAGCAATTAACAACGCTACAACTTCCTCTGCGCCCGCCGCCTGGGGAGCCGGAGCTATTACGGTGCTGGTGGTGAATGAGCTGAAAGATTCCCGTCGCCACACTGCAGGACACAGCGCCGCCTTGATTTACTGCCCTGGCAATTCTTTACAGTCACAAAGTAGTGGATTTCAGGCCAAGGCCCAGCCCTCCAGATCAAACACTTGCCCAGTCCCCATCAGCCCGCTCTCTCCAAGCAAGATTTGTTCAGGCCAAGCACAGCGAATCTGAGAGGGAACAGTTTTGCCAGAGCGAACGCTCGGAGCTTATTCTCGCTCGTAAGCCCACGGGTCTCCCCAGAAAGAGCGCAATTGAAGACCAGAGAAACAGTGCAGCAAGCAGGGCGCTCGCCTTGCATGCCGCCAACCTAGGTTCGATCCCCAGCACCATATAAGGTTCCCTGAGCACCTCTAGCAGTGACCCCTGAACACTGCCAGGACTCAGCCCCAAGCACTGCTGGGTGTGAGTCCAAACCAATAATACAATAAAGATCTTAATAAAAATCTCAGGAGCCAAAGAGAAATTAATGACCGCCTCCTGGACCCAGGGGCTACTCCAATCTCTAGACTATGGCATCCCAACCCCCCTGAAGGCTCTGAGCACTCCCCGCAAGGTGACCCTGGTAATGCCCTGCAATGCAGAACCCAGCAGAACCCCATCCTCACAATGGATCCTTGTACTGAACCACTGGTCCTGAGGGCTAAAACCTGACAGGTGGGGCCCCTGAAGCACGGTGAGGAACCATGGCTACCACACCCCCAACACACAAATTATTAAAGTCATGACTACCTCTTAAACAGTGAGAGTAAGTCAAAGGACAGAGAGGAAGGAGGATGCTTGGCCATTATTGGGGATAAGAATCTTTCAGAAGTACAGAAGTTAACATAATATGAGACAGACACCCAAGGACAGTAGACACAAGGGCCAGAATATTGCCCCATAATTGGAAGCCTGCCTCATGAGCTCGGGGAGAAGGTAGCTGGAATAGAGAAGGGATCGCTAAAGTCAATGATGGTTGGAGGAATCGTTTGTGATGGGAGACGTGTGCTGAAAGTAGATAAAGGACCAAACATGATAATCTCTCAGTATCTGTACTGCAGACCATAATTCCCAAAATTAGAGAGAGTATGGGGGTAACTGCCTGCCACGGAGGCAGGGGAAGGGTTGGAAAGGCAGGGTATACTGGGGACATAGGTGGTAGAGAATGTGTACTGGTGGAGGGATGGGTATTTGATCATTGTATAATTGAAACTCAAACATGAAAGCCTGTAACTGTATCTCATGGTGATTCAATAATAAAAAAATTTTAAAAATTAAAAAAAGAATCTTCCAGAAGTAGAGCACACATCCAGCTGCACCTTCCCTCTCCCTGATGACACCTGAGAATATCGCAGAGGCAGGGCCTGGACCTCAGCTCCTGAGACAGGTAGGCATTTAGGAAGGGCTGACACACAAATGTTCCTCCAAACTCATGCGAAACAACAGGCCTCTGGCAGAGGACAGGTGTGTAAGAGCGGAGGCAAGGTGGACTTCCTGCCACCGTGGGAGAGTCCACTGGAGGGTGGCGGAGGGGCTGTATGGCAGACCACGGAAAAGGCTCTGTCCCAGGCACGCACGGATGAAGCAGGAAGAGGAAGCACTTACCGAGGAGAGCGTTGTGGCCGCTGTCATCTGGCAGGAATCTCTTGTCCACGGCACAGACCAAGAGGTGGTCGGGCAGGCTGGGGGCCTTGGCCCCCACCAGGAGGAAGCCTGCGGGGACGTCAATGGGCTCGTTGGAAATGGAGACAAGACGCAGGTCCTTGCCCGCCTGGCAGAACCCTGGGGAGAAAGAAGACAGGTGAAAGGCAGAGTCCTGCGGTGGGGTTCAGGCTGCAAACATCCCACCCCGGGCAAGGACCAGCCCTCCAAGGAACGCTGGTATTCTGGAAAGAAGGCAGCAAACAGAGACGCCTGGTGCCACGCGGAGCTTCTAGACCTTTTAGTGTCTCTGGACAAGACACATGAATGTCCGAATGGCAACGCAGGGAAATAGCTGTGAGATAAAGCTGTGTGGAGCTGTGAGTCATTTGATGTTTTTCCTACCCAGCATTTCATGCTTACGTGTAAGGAATAGGTGAACAACAAGTAGCATGAGAGCATGGAAACATTGGTCACTGCCAGGGGGAATGGAGGGGACCTGGGTGAGCAGAATATGGAGGAGATATCTCAGTATGAGGAGACTTACTTTCTCCCTGTTGGGAACTTCTGGATTTTAAGTTATTAAATTTGTTTAGTGTTAATGCTTAATTTTAAATAGTATGAGACTGATATCCACGGCTGGGGAAAACAGGTGCCAGAAGGACTGGTCAATGCTTGGAAGCTTGCCACATGTGTGTGTGTTGGGGGGAGGGGGGGCAGGGCTGGAGCAATAGTACAGCAGGTAGGGCATTTGTCTTGCATGCGGGGCCAACCCGGGTTTGATTCCCAGCATCCCATATGGTCCCCCAAGCACCACCAGGAGTAATCCCTGAGTGCAAAGACAGGAGTAACCCCTGTACATCGCCAGGTGTGACCCCAAAAAGCAAAAAAACAAAAACAAAAACAAAAAACCAAGTGTGTGTGGGCTAGAGCGATAGCACAGCGGTAGGGCGTTTGCCTTGCACGCAGCCAACATGGCCGACCCGAGTTCGATTCCTCCGCCCCTCTCGGAGAGTCTGGCAAGCTACTGAGAGTATCTCGCCCGCACGGCAGAGCCTGGCAAGCTCCCCGTGACGTATTCGATATGCCAGACACAGTAACAACAAAGTCTCCAATGGAGACGTTACTGGGCCCGCTTGAGCAAATTGATGAACAACGGGAGGACAGTGACAGAAGTGTGGGGGGGGGGCGGGCTGGGGGGGGTTGGTGAAGGGTAGTTAGGAGATGACATAATAGCTGAAAATGATCACTCTGGACTGAGTGCTGAAAGTAGGTAAAGCATGATAATGTTTCAGTATCTGTATGGCAAACTATAATGCCCAAAAGAGGGAGGGGAGAAGAGAAAAGTTCCTGCCATCATGGGGGAGGGGAAGTGGAGGAAAACTGGAGACAATGGTGGTGGGAAACATACACTGGTGAAGGGACAGGTGTTAGAACGTTGTATGACTGAAACCCAATCATGAACAACCTTGTAACTGTGTATTTCACTGTGATTTCAAGTAAAAAATAAATAAAAAAGAAGTAATGTGACCTAATCAATAAATGATCTGGGGGAGGGGGTAGCTATTTCTTTGGCTAAGACCTTTTCAGGAGTTCATTCTGGGTGAGGGTCCCTGTGCTTTGCCCAACACTAGTCACGGACTCAGGCAGTGATTTGAGAGAACCCCAAGGACTCTGAAGCCTTGCCTGAAAGTGTGGTGCAGAATTCACAGCCCTTCCTCCAATGACACAGTCACCAGACAACCCCAACTACCTCCAGCTTCCCCCACCCACCCGAGCAGAAGCGGAAGGTGCACTGCAGCGGATGAGCAGCTGGCAACGCTGGACACCTAGCGAGGATATGCTGCCAAACCCCACACAGTCACCCTGGAGGAGGATTTCTGACCCCAATTCCCAAATAAGGAAACGTGAGAGCGCTTAAGAAATGTGTTCAGTGAAAGCTACTGAGAAGTGGTCAGAGAGACGCAGGTTTCATTCCAGGCTAGGGGAGGACAGTCTTGTCCAAGGGGGTGGGGAGTTCCACCACATTCCCTGAGGTCAAGGTCAGCCTGCAGGTCTCAAGCCCGGTGCCCCAACCCTCCTTCAGAAGAACAGCGGGAAACAGGCCCTGAGCTGTCAGCGCCATCACTGTCTGTATTTAGAAGCTCTTTGCTGCAATACTATGATTGAGCTTCCATTCTTGCTATTAATCAGGAGGGAATTATACATTGGGACACTAGATCCCACCTGCAGAAGAACAACTATACTGGCTTTCCCTTTCCCAGAGTAGGCTGGGTTCCAATACCTGCAGAACACCTGCTCGGGGCCAAGTTCAGGCACACAGACCACAGAGACTCTTTTACTACTAGCTGCATCCTTTTTCTAAGCCAGGTGTACCAGCACTGCAGCCCCTGACATAAACAGATGACCAACAACTCCCCAGTAGGCTGTATTCTCACTCCTTGATGCCGCTACACTTGCTCTTCCTCTATCTGCCATGCCTCAGCTTCTCCCAACCTCTCCCAGTCTCCTGGCAAACTCCTACCAATCCTCCAAAACCCAGAAAAAGGAACTCCTCTTCCCGGAAGCCTTCCCCAACTCCCTTACCCTGGTACGAGCCGTTCCTGGGCTCCCATTCAACCCTGCACTGGCTTACTGACTCCCCATCAAACTGCGTTTGGGGGTCTTTGGTCTCCCTATTCCCAGAGCAGGGCTTGGTGAACATCCTAACGAGCATGAATCTGGAACTCACTAGAGGCACTTCCAGCTGAGCACAAATGAACTTCCTTCTCGCAGAGAGGCTTCAAGTGGCAGGTCCTCAAGTGTTCGAGTGCAGGGCCAGGACTATTATCAGGGGACCCAGTTGCCACCCTGCTCCTCATGATTCTGGTGCCAGAGAGCACCCCCTGGCACAGCTCACAGCCAGGTGTCTCCTGGGCCACGGGGTTGGGGCTGGGGCCCGAGCTGGGCCAGCAGACTCACCATCCGTGGTACAGCTCCCCTCGGGCGCTGGCTGCATCTGGTAGCAGCTGGCAGCGCAGTTGGCTCCCAGGCCCCCTTCTGCCTCCTCTCCGTCTTCATCATTGTCCACGCGACTGCCACCTAGACGAGAGGCAGGACAGGGATGAGTAAGGCGGAAGATGGCCCGGCTCACCTGAAGCCGCTCCCAGATAGCATCCCAACGTGGAATCTCGGACGTCTCACTCAGCACACAGCGAGGGATTCCTCCTCACCAGCAGCATGCCCGAGCCAGCCCCTCGGTGACAGCCATGAGCCAGGACAGCTTTCCCAAGGTCATGACCCCCTGTCCCAGCCGCCCTCCGAAGCTGTGCCTGTCTGCACTGGAACTCACTGCCTAGAGCATCTGGGAATGACCATGACCACCAGCGTTCTTCAGCCTTCACATGCCTGCGAGCTGGAATCTGTCCTGCATACAGCCGCCAGCAGCCTGGCAGTTGGTAGACCAGTTCTTTCCAACCGCTCTACACCCACAGGCCAGCACAGGATAAAGAGTGGCAGTTGAAGACCCCTAGTACAGACCATTTTCAAATGAGGAAACTGAGGTCCCCTCTCCTGGATAAGCTACCAAGTGGCAGAGCCAGGATGTTCCCAGTGGGTGTGACAGTGATGGTCCCCTGCATCATTATCCATCCAGAAGGGCAGAACAGACATACACATTACTAGGCATACAAAGTCCACCCAGATCTGTCACATACACAGAAAGAGAGAGAAAGAGAGAGAAGGAGAGGAGAGAGAGAGAGGGAAGGAGAGAGGAGAGAGAGATAAGGAGAGAAAGAGATAAGGAGCAAGAGAAGGAGAGAGAGAAGGAGAGAGATAGATAAGGAGAGAAGAGAGAGATAAGGGGGGAGAGACAGACAGACAGACAGACAGACAGACTGACAGACAGACAGAGAAGAGAGTCCTTTCAATATAGGGCCACGCAGGCTAAGACTCCAGGAAGCTTTTCTAAAAAGTAGAATCAGGGGCTGAAGCGATAGCACAGCAGATAGGGTGTTTGCCTTGCAAACAGTGTTTGTGTTTGCTGGGATCAATTCCCAGCATTCCATATGGTCCCCTGAGCACCACCAGGAGTAATTTCTGAGTGCAGAGCCAGGAGTAACCCCTGTGCATCGCTGGGTGTGACCCAAGAAGAAAAAAATCATGTTTTAGGAGTAACAGCTAAGATGGAACTGGCCAGGAGAGGCAGGATGTAGCCATGGAGATGCCTGAGTCTTCTGACACTGCAGTGAAATGAGCCTCTGGCAGGGGCACCAGACTGGGATCAGCGAGAGGATCCTGTTTCTGCTACTATTCACCTCTGGAACCCAGGCACCCAGCATGATGCCTCAGACAGATGTGCTCAGGAGAGCCTGGCCAGCTGCTCCAAACGCACCAGGGCAGAACTTATTTACCCAGCCTTGCTGGGTAAAGAAAAGAGGCGGGGGGTGGGGGGGCTCCAACAATGAATCTTCAGCACTGTTGAAACATTCTTGCTCTAAGTTCTTTGAAGTGAGACATCTGGGGTAAAAACCTTTCCCGCCTTGTCATTTATTAAGCAGCGCGAGGGTGGCTAGACACGGCTCTGAAATGCCTGGGCTAGGAGCCAGCTATTTCCACCATCATTCTCTCCTGGAACTCCCTTCTTGGTTGCCCATTCTTCTCCCACCTTCCTTGACCCTTCTGTATCCAAGTGGGGAAGGGGGTTTTAGGTTCATCATGGGAGAGATGGGACAGGAAGTGCGAAATTCAGGTTTTCCTACTGGGGTCTGCCACTGTCTGCGTGATCACGGAAAGTGACTTCAGTTTCCCCTGGCACGGGTCTGTGAACCCCTACGATGAGCAGGTCAGACAAATTCACCGAGCCGTGACTGCCTGGGGAGGAAAACAGGGCCTGCCGAGTTATGCAGAATATTCCAGGTGGGACGGAATCCATGCAGGGACAGAGCACCGCCTCAGAGTGGTCACCAAAGAGGCAGGAAAAACAAAACATGTCAAGCTGGCCTCAGCGGGAAAGCAGCAGCAAGGAGAGTAGCAAGAATTCCTGTGTCCCCCTCCCGGGGCCTGAGGACCCAGAGGCGGCAGGGAGATTACCCCTGCAGGAACACAAAGGAAGCAGGAGATAAAGTCTGAGCCTCCTTAAGCTGCCGCCTTCCTGCCATTAAACGCTGGCCAGGAGGGGTCTGAGCAGAAGGTAGAGTCACCTCTGAACCCGGCGCCAGCCAGGCGGTGCAGACAGCCAGGGGGCCCCAACGGTCCTTGGGCCACCCAGGGAGTGGGGGCCCGCGGGATCCAGACTGTCTCTCCACACCAGAGGGCCGAGGCTGAACACCCCAATTCGCAGGGAAACAAGGAGAGAAAATGGGTGCCCATGGAGCTCTGGGGGTACACACACAGGAATGTCTGTCTGGCGGGTGGTGATTCTGCTGGCCAGAACAAGAACTCAGCCTCCCGGAAAGAATGAAAGAGGGTCAGAAGCTTCAGAAAGGCCAAGAAAGAGCTCAAAATTGGAGTCACAAAGAAAGCAAGGATTAAAGGTCAAAGGTCTGCCTGACACATTCCAGCCCCTTTGATGGGATCTGCGGGCACAAAGCAGGAGGAAACTTCTAGGAGCTAGAGAGCAAAGCCATACCGCTCCCAAGGGCTCCCTGAGGACGGCAACTTTCAATGGCCGCAGACACAACCAGCGGGTTCCCACACACAGGAGGCCCTTCCTTTCACGTTTTTAACTCAGTTTGTTTTCTTTTTGGAGTCTGTTTTTCTTATTTCTTTTGGTTTGTTCTTGGACCACACCCAGTGGTGCACTGGGCTCACTCCGAGCTCTGTGCTCAGGGACCACTCCTAGACAGACTTGGGGAGGCATAAGTGGTACCCACGGTCGAACCTGGGTCAGCGCATGCAAGGCAAGAACCCTACCTGCTCTCCATCTCCCTGGCCACTCAAGTTTCTTTTCTTGAAACTGTGTGACATGGGACTGGAGCGATAGCACCGCAGGTGGGGCTTTTTGCCTTGCATGCGGCCGACCTGGGTTTGATCCCCGGCATCCTCATAGGGTCCTCCGAGTAACGCCAGGAGTGATTCCTGAGTGCAGAACCAGGAGTAACCGTAAGCATCGTTGGGTGTGACCCAAAAAGCCAAAAAAGAAAAAAAAAGTGTGACATTAGAAGTGGCTAGAATTATAGAAACTGACCCTTATCTTGTTTAATGAATAAAAATTTAAAACACCTTTTCCATTTGTTAGTCTTTAAAAAAAAACACACACATAAAAGACATTTTCTCTAGAAGGAGGTGGTAAATCCCCCTATTTGGAGAACAATGTGATAAGGGCCCAGCAGAGAATCACCCTCACAAATTTAGAGAATGTGAAAAGACGCCAGCATCAATACACTGGCAGCCGGGTCATGAAAATCTTAAATGTTATTGTCTGAGGAAACAAGCAATGAGATAAGGAACCCTGGCAGAGACAGGCAGTCAAAACAAGCAGCGGCAAGTACAATCAGCCGGTCCTGCTTTATGAGGTAGACACTGGGGGCTCAAGTTGAGGGCTCAGTGTAAGCTGCCCTGCGCCCCAACCCACCCCAATCTCCGGACACAGTTCCCACCCGCCACTTCCTCTCTTCTCCTCATGCTAAGAAAACAGATTTTTCAGAGGATTTCTGTATTCCTTCTGCTGGGCCAATAGGAAAATCCTAGAGTGTATGCTCCGGCTTTCATGCGGACATGACAGCTGAACCAGCTCCCTCCCTGCCCCCTCCAGGGAATCTTCACCATCACCCCTGAGGAGGGGAGGGACAGTCCCCGCGGCTGCCCCTGAACGCAAGCTCAAGGTCCACAGGCAGTCAAAGGTCTCCCAGGAGTCAGAACGTTCCAGATGCAGCCTTCAATTAGAGGCTGGGATAGTCATCCATGGAGGAGGCTGGGATAGTCGTCCATGGAGATCTGAAACATGAGAAAAAACTGACGGGGGGGGGGGGGGCGCCCAGGGGGATTTAAGGATCCCACCTCTAAGGAACCCGTATCTTCCACTATTTGTTGTGACAGAGCTGGCAAAACTGAGGCTGAGTTTCTGCACTCATCATCTCCCCAATTTTAAACAAACCAGCTGGGGGCGGGGGTTGCCTTTGGCAGATTCTAAGACTTCATTCGTATGTGTTAAATCATCGGTCAACGTAAAGATCATTAGTGTTCTCAGAAGCAACAACGAGTTTTGGTAGAGTAAGACGTTGAGGCACGGGGCCAGGGAAATAGTCTACTAGGGCCAACCTGGGTTTGGTCCCCCAAACCCCAGCAGGAGTGATTCCTGAGCACAGAGGCAGGAATATGCCCCGAGCACTGCTGGGTAGCGGATGGCCCCCAAACAAAACAAAGCACAGCAGAGAGCGCGGCCATCCTACATCTCAGGCCTCTTAGCCAAAAGCCTGGTCTCTAAATCATCCTTCAACACATGCTCCTTTGCCAGCAGCAGACGCTGGTCCTGTGATGGGAACGCCATGGAAATTCCTGGATTTCCCAATCCCTGGTGTTAGCCACAATTCAGTGTCTGTCACGCCCAGTGGTTTTTGCTCCCAGGCTGTCACCACTTGCGGGATTAAATCAATGAGGATGTTTTTCGACAGTGACACAGGAATGCCTCTGGGCCAGAGTAAGTCATCACCAGCTCTCACCCCAGCACCCCATTTCCTCTGTGCCACGCCGGAGCCCACCCTCCCCACAGCCACCTGACACACACCAGGACCAGTCCGTCACCTGTGCACATAACTGCTGACGCATACAGCACACGATACCAGCACAGGGCCTGGCACGCCGGATATTCCTCTTCCGGGGGCTCCCAAGCAATGCTCAAGGGCCCCAAGTGCTCAGATATGGTGCTGCTCAAGTCAAGCAGGCCACCAGAGTCACACCCAGAGGTACTCAGGGGACTAACCGGAAGTGCTGTTGGGGTTCAAACTCAGAGCCAGGAGCACGGAAAGCAGGCGGTGCAGCTCTTTAGCTAGCTCCTTGGGCTCTGTCCTCTTCCTCTAATTCATTGTCATTCATCAGGTAATGAACGAGTCAAAAACAAACTGAGGGCCAGACCGCAAGTAAGGTGCTTGCTTTGCCTGTGGACAACCCGTGTTCAATCCCCAGCATCTCTTCTGTCTGCTGAGCACTGAGTGCAGAGCCAGGGGGAATCTCCAAGCACTGCTAGGTACAACCTCCCACCACCTCAAAAAAGAAAAAAAAACTGACAAGAACTCCCATAATAGTAATTATCATATACGATGAAGGCAGGAGTTATTTTTAACAGAAAAATATACTGCTATATAAAATATACCAGCCCCCTCCCTGGGAGCCTCCCTAGGGGCCAGTGGATTGGCGCTTGCCCTACACAGAGCAGACCCGGGCTCAATTCCCGGCATCTGATAGGGTTCCCCCAAGCACTGTCAGGAGTGCAGAACCAGGAGGAACCCTTCAGCACTGCTGGGTATAGTCCAAAAACAACAACAAAAATACAGCACCGTTATAAATACGAGCTGAGGATGGGGACACACACCCACTTTTATCTCTGGAGAACTAAGTCCACTTAAAGCTCTCCCACCTGGAAGGAAATCTGCTCATTCATTCTTGGCACACATGAAATTCAAAAGGCTAAGAGAAGCAAAAAGAAACTACATAAATTTTACAAAGATATTACCATGAATCACAGGACAGAAAGAAAAAAAAATATATATGCATATACATATAAAACATAAATAAAATAAATACACATAAACAAAAATACATATATAGAGTGTCTAAAAGCAGGTTAAATCTTAAAGACACTTGAAATTTTCAAGAAATGTTAAAGATCTTTGAAATAGTTAAAGAAATCTTAGAGACATGTTTAAGAAAACACCATAGCTTTGAATAAAAGCAGAAGGATCAATTCAACCCCATCTAACGATACGGTGCTTTTTTCCTTCCTTTCTCCCATTATTCCAACAAATCATTTTATCCCTGTCCACTCTCCAGCTGAAACTTATTTTCACTTGAGCCCAGGGGAGAATGTTTGTGCAACTGTCTTCTAATCCTGATTCTCGTCCCCTTGAGTCCAGGGGCAGAAAGCAAAGGAGGGAGTTCCCGTGCAGGCTGCTCTCACTCACGGCAGCCCAGACCACAGCCCCGAGCACTGCCTACCTTCCAGGGCCGAGAGCTGCTGCTCGGCCTCCAGGTACAGCTGGGAGAAGACTGGCCTGGGCACCAGGCTGTTGGAGCGCAGGGAAGCCTCGATGGAATTGTGCAGCACCTCTTCAAAGCGCGTCGTCTTCAGCTGTCCAGCGTAGGAGTTTCCCATCTTCAAGAGAGAAGCCGGAGCCCTCTGTTCCAAAAGAGGCCGTTACAGAGAGAGCCCCAGGCAGGAAACCCAGAGGTAGAAGGTGAACTTGCCAGGAGGCGGGCGGAACGACTGCCCGTTCCTGCGCTCCCCAGAGTGGAGGCAGCAGCTCTGGGCGGCAGCTACACAGCCCATCAATTGCAGGAAGTTATATAAGTAACAGCTTTGTCTAATTTAGCTCTCAGGGAGCAGAGTCTCGTACCTCCTGGAATATTGTACTAGAAATCAGCCTAGTCATCCCCAGATTACACACACAAACACAGACACACACAGTCACTGGCATGCATACACAGACACACATACAGAGACACACGGAGATACACACACAGACACGCACACACAGATACACACAGACACGCACACAGACACACACAGATACACACAGACACGCACACAGACACACAGACACAGGCATGCACACACAGACACACATACAGAGACACACACAGACATACACACACAGACACGCACACACAGAGATACACACACAGACACAGGCATGCACACAGACACACATACAGAGACACACACTGAGATACACACGCTGAGACACGCACACAGACACACACACGGAGACACGCACACAGACACACACACAGACACATACACACAGACATGCATACACAGAGACACAGAGACACACAGAGACATACAGAGACACACAGAGACACACAGTCACACACACAGTCACACACACAGACACACAGACACACAGACACACACACGATTTTTTATTTCCCTAGAACAGAGCAGCCCTGCACCACTCCGTGTGTGCCAATGCTGGTAATTCAGGGATCCCTGACAATCAGTTCTGAGTTTAGGATTGCAGGACTCAGGCCCCTCACCCACCCTCCACCCGCGCATCACACCCCCACCTCTTCATCCTCTCAAAGGTAGAAAAGTCAATTTCCCATCATAGACTTTTCTCCTCAAAGGCTATTAGGAATACTGTTTCTTTAAAGCTTTCGCTTGTTTGTTTCCATTATGCAAGGATGCAGAAGGACATCTGGAAAATCAGGAAATCACAGAGGGTGAAGGCAAGAGGAATGGCCCCGATATTTCTATTCCTCTCCCTCCCCACCCCACCCGCAAGACTGCCACTGTGGTTTTTTGGTAGCAGCTTGAGTAAGCAATAACTCACACGATAACGTTCACCCATGGAGTGTACGAGCCTGGAAGTTTCATTCACTGTGGAGCAACCACCACACAAATCATTTTACAACATTCCCATCACTCCAAAAAGACACCTTCAGCTCCTGTTCCCCAATTCCACAATCCTCCTGCCCCAGGTAACCACTAATTTCTCTGTCTCTAGCTTTGCCTATTCTGGACGTTTCCTAAGTAACAGAATCAAGTGACACGTGGTCTTTTTGTGGCTTCTTGCATTGTACAGAGTATCTCCAAGGTTCATCTTTGTATCATCCCAGTGGAAAATTCTGATAGAACCTTCCGGACTGAATTCCCTTAGAACTTTGGAGATAGGAGTCGATGTGGAGGCTATTTTTAGAGGATGTAATCACTCTTGGATACAATTTTTTAAATTCTCTTTTGATTTCATATAAGCACTTCATCCAGGTTTTTTACAAATATTCTTGAAGAACTTTTAAAAGAGTGTATCATACTTTGATAAAGGAAGAGATATTTGCTTAGATAGTTCTCTTGGATCAGACTCCTGGCTAAATGTCTATATGTAGTCCCAAGAACAGACAATGAACTTATATTCCTTCTGAATCCTTTCCATTTATTTTCTAAATTTCATTAAATTGGATTCTTTTTGCTCAGAACTTCACATTTTCCTTTAGGTAGGTCTTGTGCTACAGCATGCAGAGGTTCAGTATAAAATGTTCTTATCAATTTTTTTAACACAGATTATTTTCTCTTTTCCTATTCCGCCTTTGATTTAGTCCTTATCCAGGAGTAAATGTTAATTTTGAAAGTCAAGACATTGGGGAAGCAGAGACAGCCTTATTCAAATCTCTGCTTTTCTTGGACTGTAATCATAACTATGGGTCTTAAGAACGACTTTGTACATTTGTGAGGGTTTTCTTTTCGACAAAGACCTATAGGATTTTTACAACATTCCAAAGGCATGAGAAAGGAACAGAGCCAACACTTTTAGGAACGAAAGGAGAGAGATTATTCCTTCTAGATTTTTATTTCTCATCAACTAACACCACAGGACTTGATAAAGCAGTAGGAGAGAAATACAAAATAATCACAGCCCAAGATACCAGCATGACAACAGTCAACCCAGGCCGGCAGCTGTTGTACAGACACACTCCCACACTCAGGTTGCAATCTTGGTTTCCTTCCTTGGAGGGAAGATGAGGGCACTTCCTTGACATGCCCCCGTCCCTGTGATAACGGTGGCAGAGCAATTTCTTTTTTTGGGAGGGGGTGCATAGGGGTCACTCCTGGCTTGTGCACTCAGGAATTACTCCTGGCGGGGCTTGGAAGAATATTTGGGATGCTGGAAATCGAACCCAGGTCCTCCGCGTGCAAGGCAAACGCCCTACCTGCTGTGCTATCGCTCCAGCCCCAGCAGAGCAATTTCCACAAGGGCCATGGGCACCTTTGGAGCTCTGGCTTCCCTTCTGAAGTAAGAATGAGGCTGTGATCACGCTGATTTTCTGCCACTATTGTAAAGAAGAGCCAGCCTTTCCTCTCCCAACCAAAAGTAAATGGAAACTATTAAGCCCTTTCTGCCTGCAGCAATAACTCCTGACCACCAGGCCCTTTGGTCAGCTTCTGCCTGTGCAGAGCCTGGGGAAATGAGCTGCGAGGAGGCCTCAGGCATTAGCCCCAACAAAAAAGAAAAGGGCTCCTGAAAGACAGAGGTCAGGGCTGCAGGCCCCTAATAGCTGCACCCAAAGGGGCTGCAGATCCTCTCGTCTAACCTTCTTTTCTCTTGACCTGCCGTCCACTTCAATACGTGCATGAGGGGTGACAGGCCACATTTGGGGACACTTGTATGATTTTCTGTTCCGAGTGAAAGCAGCCCCCAATTAAGAACATCACACGTGCCTCTTATTTCCATAGGATCTCCATCCAGGGAGCTTAAGGCACACAGAGAGAGGCTTTAGGTCAAGCCCACTTCGCAGGGAACTATTGCAGAAGCATGAACTGTTGAGAAATCCAGGCCCATCCCCACCCCCCTTCCCCTTGTCCGGCATTCTGGTCAGCTCACCTGACTACTGCCTCAGCCCCAGAGCTCCGGACTCTACCAATAAAAGCAGATCAAAGCCCAACATGCAGCGAGAGCAGTAAAGAAGAAAGAAAACCGACATTCACCGCCTGCCTGTGTCCAGACACTGGGCGGGCTCCGAGCTTAAGAGCGCAAACCCCACCGAGAGGGCAGATGTAAAATCTTGCAGAGAAGGAACCTGGTTGAAAGAAAAGAGAAAGGAACCAAGGGAGGGAAAGGACAGGAGGGTGGGGACGGGAGTGGCAGGAGGGGAGAAACACCCGAAGACCCCACGACAGACAGAGTGAGTGCTCCCTCTCAGAAAGGGGCGAAGGGACGTTTACAACCGAAAGCCAACCTTAAAGCGTTAATGTCCATAAGCAACCAGCGAGGGAGCAAGGCACAGCCCACCAGGGCCACGGCTGCCTTTGTTAGGCGGGGAAGGAGCACCGAGATCTATGAAAATATTGTGGTAGAGGCTGGATCGATAGCACAGCGGGTTGGGTGTTTGCCTTGCACGCAGCCGACCCAGGTTCGATTCCCAGCATCCCATAGGGTCCCCCGAGCACCGCCAGGAGTAATTCCTGAATGCAGGAGCCAGGAGTAACCCCCTGTGCACCGCATGGTGTGACCCCAAAAAGAAAAAAAATATATTGTGGTCCTTCCTTAGCCCCCAAATGGTTCTACTCCAGGTCATGACAAGAGCAGGAACTTCCGCTACAGCCCAGATGGTGACAGGATGGGGTCAGGATCCGTGGCGGGCGCAGGCTGAACAGGGCTCTCTGGCAGGTGAGAATCCCATGCTTGTGTCCTATGGGCGCCAGAGAACCAAAGAAAGAGGAGCCCACCTCAGGCACATGAGCCCACACTGATTCTCCCTTGGGCCCCGCTGAACTAAGGCAGCTCCGGGCCCATGTCCTGGGCCCAGTCTCCCTTTTTGCTGGTCCTGCCCACTCAAGCCCATTGCTCTGTCTCCGTCAGGCTCCTGTAGCTGACATTCAAGACAGCCCACTGGACACACTTGGACAACTGCCTACCCATGATGCGAACTCCAGTGGACACTTGGGCGTCTGCCTGCTTTGTAGAGCGACACACAAAAGCTGCCTGAAAATTCTGCTTGTAGGGATACAACTGGACTCCCCAGGTCTCCAAGGGGTCTGCCAATGGGGGCCTTTTGCCACAACGGTCACAGCACCATTTGATGGGCGCTCCATCTAGAACCCGTGCTTACATGGCGTGCCCAGTCCAAAAAGCCCCTGGGAGCCCGGGCGGTGCAAAGGGCACTGTCCCTGGTGAGTTTGGAATCCCAAAGGCGGGCAATGCTTGTGAGGGCTGAGACAACCAGCCCAAGTCGGCTCCTCCCCTGACCTGACTGCCAGTAAATCAACCCAAGCTGTGGCGCTTGAGCAAAAGAACTCAGGACGATCAGGTAGGCTAAGTTGAAGTTCGATTAGAATATGTGCGGAGCAGAAACACAGAAGACAAAGGATTACACGAGAGGTGACCACCGAGGGAGTCTCCCGGTGATCTGGATGGATGGAAGCCCCACATAAGCTCTGCTCCTTCCCAAACTGCACGACAGTGACAGCGGAGGATGCCGAAACATAAATATACACAGACAGAGATGAGTAAAAGTGATGGCAGAGGAGACGGGCCGGTGAGGTCGGTGAGCAAAGACGTAGCTCAGTGGAAGAAAAACGTGTAACCGCACTGAAGCCTTTGGCATGTGTGAGCGCGTGTACACACACACACACACACACACACGCACACACACCGT